GCACGGCCTTGTGGGCTCTGTAGTCGGCGGCGGGGTGGGGCGGGGCGGGCGCAGGCCGGAGAGTGGGGGGCGAGCAGTTCCAGCCCTGCTGGTCGCTGGTGTTCGCCTGCAGTCGCTCGCGCGCTCCATCCCTGCGGGGAAGGACCCACCGACCCTGGCCAGTCGGAGATCAGATGCTCTCCCTTCGCCGGCAGCCGTGTGACCTTGGGCCCACCCCGGCCAGGTGCAGGTGGATGGGCTGCGACCGGACCGGTGCGCAGGTCGAGGCCCATCGTCTTTCTGAGCGTCCTGGGCCTCAAAGGCTGTGCTCCCTCCATTCGTCCGCCGGGCACCCGGCAGGGCAGCCTCCACCACCACAAACCCACCCCCAGACCGGGTGCTGCGCCCTGCAGGACCTCACGTCCAACCCAGAGATCTGGGGCGTGGCCTGGACCTTCCCTGACACCCTGCGGTCACCAGCAAGTCCCAGGTAGAGCTCCGCCCTGGGGACCAACAGAGGGGCTCCACCGGGCCCGCGCTCCGGGACTGGCTTCGTGCTGTGCGGCCTTCGCCTCCGCCACACCCTCTCCTGGGCCTGTCAGTGTCGCCTCCGTGCACACTGGCACGGCTAACGTGATCAAGCCAACCCCCTGCTCCAGCCCTGTCCCGGACTCGCCTTCCGCACCAGAAGGTCTTGGAGGAGCCCGCCCCTGAAGTGCTGAGAGGCCGCCTGCCCTCGTTGTGCTGCCCTGCACCCTGCTCCACTGCTGGTCTGTACCTCCTTTGTCCCACAGCCCTGAGCTTTCCCTGGCGTGAGACTGGGATTCATGAGTTACCAGCAAGATCCCCAAGAGAAAAGGTCTCACGCAGCTGAGCCCAACCCCTACCAAGCAAAGGATTCTCGAATCCGGAGTGCAGGAATCCTGATATCCGCCTTCCCTCAGTTGTGCACCTGACACTGCCTAATGCCAAGTCATCTCACTTAATCACCACCGCTCTCCACATGGCTACCCTGTGCCCTAACTGGAGGAGGTCTAGAAACAACCCAGGGCCTCAGGCTGCTAGATCAGCTTTCCACCGCTGAGGGACACACCTGGCCCCATGAGTCCTGTTTTGAGCAAGAAACTGAGGTTCATACATGCTGAAGAATTTGCCCAAAGCCACGGCAAGATTCAGGCAGGACCCAGATTCCAGCTCTGGTGTGACGCTGGGGCACCAGCAGAGCACTGATGATACAGTGGAGGGTTGCCCTGGGGTTGGGACACAGGCCCCGCTGAGGTGAGCCAAGCTGATGCCAGTCACTTTTCAGAATAAGGGATTTAAAGCCATGCAAGACTTGGCAACAGGGAGCTGAGCGTGGTGACACACACCTATAATCCCAGCACTCCTGGAGGGTCACAAGTTCAAGCCCAGCCTGGACAATTTAGCAACACTTTCTCAAAAAATAAAGGCTGGGTATGTAACTCAGTGCAAAGGTCCTGGGCTCAGTCCCCAGGACTGAGGGGGAAACCCTTGGCAGTCCATCCAGTGGCCCCTCAGAGACACTGTGGCTGGAGCAGGACACAGGGAGCAGTCTTTATTCCAGGCGCAGTGGGGACTGTGGCGGGCTGTGAGAGGGAAGGGATGTGTGCTCCTGAGCGAGCTCGCTGCCGTGCGCAGAATGATGCCAGAGGAGCCTGAACAAGGCCAGCATCAGCAGCAAAGCCTCCCGAAGGTAGAGATGCTCCTGGCAGGTCATGAAGTGGTTCTCAGCCCTTTGTGATGCTAGAGATCAAACTGAGGGCCTTAGCACTGAGCTATATCCCCAGCCCCTTTTTTAATTTTTAGTTTGAGACAAGGTCTCCCTAGATTACCCAGGCTGGGCTTGAAGTTGCAATCCTCCTGCCTCAGCTTCCCAGAGTGCTGGGATTACAGGCCTGTGCCACTGTACCCCACAGCCTTTTTTCATAATTTCCTATCTGAATGTTTGTGTCCCCAGAAATTGGTATGTTGGAAGCTAATCTCCAGGGTGATGGTTTTAGGAGATAACAAGGTTGGTGAATGTAGAACCCTCATAAATGTTATTAGTGGCCTTGCCCTGAGGCCCACAGGAGCTGCCTTCTCGATGCTCCCACACAAGGGCACAGCTAGAAGGTGCCAGCTGTGGCTTTCAAAGCCACACATCTGCCCATTACTTGATCTTGCTCACCCAGCCTTCAGACTTGTGAGAAATTTGAAATCTACCTAGTTCACTGTGTTTGTCACAGCAGCTCTAATGGAATTAGACTCCCTGTAAGGAAAAATTAATAAGAAAGTAGAGAAGAATAAGTTTTGTTTTTGTTTTTGGTACCAGGGATTGAACTCAGGACCTTGCACTTTCGAGGCAGGCACAGCACCACTGAACTGAGCTAAACCCCCAACCAGAATAAGAGTTTTTGTCTCTTAGAGTTGAGCATTAGAGCCACGAAACATTGTAATAGAGTTGGGTGTGATAGCGCATGCCTATAATCCCAGCATCCGGGGGACTGGGGTAGGAAGACTGATCCAAGTTCAAGGCCAGCCTGGGCTACATTAAAAAAATTGTAATATCTAGTCTATTTCTTCCCCAAGAATCAATTTTCACTCCTTGAGGGAGTTTTAGAGCTCTCCAGAGCAACAGCCGATAGGATGGAGGGAGATTTTGTGGTAAGTCACTGGCTTGGGCCATTCAGGAGGCTGAGGGGTCCCGAGACCCACAGTGGCCCAAAGGACGCCCAGGAGAGCTGCAGCTGTCGCTCCAGGCTGAACCCCCGGCCTGCGACCCCAGACCCCAGGAAAGCCAGCGCTGCTCTCCAAAGTCTCGTGCTGACAGGAGGAGCCCTCACCACTTGTCCTGTGTGTGAGTGAGTGTGCGCACACTGGGACCACATGCCCTCACGCTGGCTAAGCCAGTCATTGCTCTGCCACTGAGGTATACTCCAAGCTGCTTGGTTCTGGTTTTCTAGTCAGGCTTTCAACAGGATGTAAACATGGGTAATGCGGGTCCCCAGAGTATGCTACTTCAACCCCTTGTATGCACTGAGTGGCACAGCGGGGTCATGTGTCAGCTCTAGTTGTAGAGTTTTGCTTCGTTTTCAGTACTGAAGCTTGAACTGAGGGCCTCCTCACTGAGCTACATCCCCAGCCATTTTCATTTCATAACAGGGTCTCCCTAGGTCATTGAGTTACCCACGTGGGGCCTGAATTTGTTGACTCTCCTGCCTCAGTGTCGCAAGTGCTGGGGTAACAGGTGTGTAATAAATCTTAAATTTTGTATAATTATGTGTGTGGTACTGATAATTAAACACAGGCCTTCACACTGAGCTGCATCTCCAGTCTTTTTTCTTTTTGAGCCAGTATTTCGCTAAATGGCCCATGTGGGGCTCAAATTTAGGAAAATTTAGGATAGTCCAGAGTGCCAGGCTCAGAGGCATTTGTTTTTATCATGAGAAAGCCCTGGATTTCATCAAAAGCCTTTCCCACTGTCACTGTGCTGACTGCCCTTGTGTTCCTAGGGAAAACCACTTACTTGCTCCTGGTGTACAGTGGCCTAGTATGCTGTGATTGGTTTGCTAGTATTTCTGTATTTATATTCATAAAAATTATCCTGGTTTCTTTTCTTATAGTAGCTTATGTGACTCAGTATCAACACTACTGACCTTATAGAATGAGTTAGGAAGTTTAACGGGCTGGGGATTTAGCTCAGTGGCACCATGCCTGCCTTGTAAGCGCCAAGGTCCTGAGTGCACAAATGCAGCTAAAATAAAAAGAGGACGTATTCACTCATTGTTGGGAAAGTTTGAAAAGATTGGCATTCTTTATTATGTTTGACATGTAATAATTCAACAGTGAAACTATCTGGTCTTGGGATTTTTTTGATACTGGGTCTTGCTTTGTAGTTCACGCTGGCCTTGACCTCAAGGCAGTCCTCCTGCCGCAGCCTCCCAGGTGCTGGGAGGTTCCTACTTCAATCTCATTTGTTGTAATAGTGCATGTGGTCTCCCTTCGCAGCACTGGGGATTGAAGCCCCAGCCCTTTTATACCTTTTAAAATTTTTGAGACAAGGTCTCACTAAATTGTCCAGGCTGGGCTTCAACTTGTGATTCTCCCTACCTCAGCCTCTGAGTGCTGAGATGGTAAGTGTGCGCCCCATGCATAGGGAGCAAACATATTTGAAGAAACGCTGTTACACGCGTTCACCGTGTTTACTAATGTGCTGGAGGCAGTATCAAGTTCAGTGAGAGGTCTGAGGGTTTAAAAGAAGTAACATTTAATTACAGATGTGGACATGAATGCTGATAATTCAAGAGAATTAGGTGGATTACAAGAATTAGGTGAGTTACAAAGTACTGTATGCAAAAACGGGCAGCTTTTGTATTACAGCACCAACGGAATGCACTAAGGACGCCACCTGACAGCCTCCAGAGCAAGAACGTGAAGCAGCACCCTGTTGGCCAGCCCAGCACGCGGGTGCCGTCCCAAGGGCCTCCCTCCTGTCATCTTCAGGATGGCCCCAGGGTGCCTGACCCAAGCATCCTCAGACAGCAGGAGGCCTGTGGACCAGGGGTCCTCACCCAGACGCTTTGAACCTTCACCAGGCTCTAGCCTGGAGGCCTGTTCAGCCTTTCCTGTCTTCCTCTAGACCAGCTCTGGGACCTGGCCGCGCTGGCTGACTCCCTCAAGGAAACCCTCCCTAGTGGCCAGGCTTCCTTTGTGCCTGGAGTCCTCACATTGCCAGCTCTGGTTTTCAGCAGTCCAGAGAGGCGCAAGGTGGCCAGGGTTGGAGTGTGGCCCCAAGAGCAGGGTACGCAGCCGAACTCCCGCCTCTGGCCGTGCCCACCATGGGCACTTCAGCGCACTGGGCTCCAATCCCGGGGCCTGTGGGTCTGGCTCCTAGGCCTGGTGAGTGGCCAGCCCTCCGCACTGCTCCCGTGGGCTGCCCTGGCTCCCACACTGACATAGGCGGACAGGTATCACACTTGGCGAAAGGTCATTCAAGAGCAAAGCAATGCACAAAATGTACATTTGGTTCAAATTAATGGTTTTATTTTCATCTTTAACACTAGCAGGAGTCCAAAACAGACTGATGTCCATGGATACAGTTTAAATGTAACAAAGAACTGAACTATGTACATTGAGGAAAGGAAAGGGATTTTTTTCACACAGCCTTTTCCTAGTTTGCAGTCTCTGATTAGTAGAAACTACATTTTTCCCAATACCATTTAGGATGAATACAGTTTTATGACCAACCATGTGTGCCAAGATGAAACAAAGAATTTGGAATGGATGTCACCCTACTTACTGGTCAGCGGCTGCATGGTTGCCTGGCTCTCTAGCCCGGGCACCATCAGAACAGAAGAGCATCTCATTGATGCCCAGAGGGGACCTGGTGGCCGCGATGACCATGATGACCAAGCGGAGGGCAGGCCCACTGCACCACCGTGATGGGGCTGATGTTCCCACCCTCTCCCAATTCATGGAGAAAATTACCACTCATTCAAACAAACTGGTAGTAAGCCAAACAGTTAAAAAAAAGTCAGAATGAAGAATGAACCACTTTCTGTTCACACAGAGGAGGGACGCTCCTTCAGTCCCAAGTAAAGTGAACTCTGTGCTGAGTCCCTGCTCCTTCAGAGGGCACCTGAAGGTCAGTTATTGCTAGCAAAGCCGGAGTGGCCCTTCTCCACCTCGAAGATGTTTCATGCCAATGGCTACTGGCTTGGCTTGAAGCCCTAGAGGACGGAGGTGTGGCGGTGAGGCAGGCCGGCCCCGAGTGACCACTCCCCACCAGCCCCGGGCCTGGTGCCCTTGCAGCCAGTCCGGGTCTCTCTGCTGCCTGAGAGGTCCCGAGGTGCCACACACCTGTGGGTTGAGCAGAGGCTGTTAGCTTGGGCTCTGCAGGGAGGGACAGCCCCCAGGCTTGCCAACCAAAACCTACAGAGCAGGCGAAGAGCAGCTGTAGAAACAAGTGTCACCCGATGGGAGGGGGGGACAAGCCAAGCCAGTGTTGGGTCAGGTGGGCCAACATCTCTGAAGCGGAGACAGTGACCTGGGCAGAGACATGGAAATGAGCTGCTTCTATAAGGCCACAATTGCTGCCACCACCTCCTGTATCTACTGAGGCAGACACCGGGCAGTGGGAACGGAGGGCCGGAGGGCACATGGCCCGCACAGGACGGCTCTCAAGAAAGGACACCCAGATGGACGCCTGCCCCCCGCCTGCGTGCCCTGTGCCAGGTGGAGAACTTTGGAGCACAGGAGGGTTCCTGAGAACGGCTGGCGTGCAGAGACAGGCAGACGGGCACTGCTCTGCAGGCGGCTCGAGGACTCCGAGGAGGATGCCAGCGGCGCCACCTCCTGACTGCTGAGACATGGGTGAGAACGGGCTTTATTGCACTTTTCGTTCTTAGGAAACAGGGATTGCCCTGCAGAGGTCCTCGTGGTTTGCAGAGAACACTGCACATCAACGGTAAGGTACAGGCAGAATCGCAGGTCGCCTCGGACTCCGAGGGAAACAAAGTCCAGGGGCTGCCCCTGCACTGGGATCCTTGGGTGGAGGGGGCCGGGTCTGGCCCGGGCTCTGGGAGAGCAGGACGCACCTTCTGACAGGAAACTTCTTGGCACAGAGCAACTCCACAAAGGCTGGAGCCCAGTCCTCAAGCTCCACTGTGCCTGACCCTCCTTGCTCCTACTTTAGGACCGGCCTAGCCCAGAGGAGCAGAGGTGAGGAGCCAGGCCTGGAGCGCCCCTGGGTGCAGCTCCATAGCATCAAACTCGATATAACGAAAGGATCTAAGAGGGTGGGAAGGAAAGAGCAGTTTACATATCAGATGTTTGTTTTGAAACAGTCTTGTTGCGCTTGGGAAACTGGAGGCAGATCACATGCAGAAAGCCCAGCCAGGCTGTCTGTCTGTCTATCCATCCGTCCGGCTCTCCTGGAAGGCTCAGAGCTCTTCATATATAAATGGGGTGGTACCGTTTGTGGCTGATCTTCTTCCTACAGGTCGGGCAAGTGTTAGCATTCTTCAGGGAGTCACGGAGGCACTGGCTACAGAAGACGTGGCCACACTCTGTGGAGACAATGAGACGTCCATTCTGCACTATCTAGGAGACAGGAAAAGGAACAGCCTTCAAATGTGTCCTTGTCCCAGAGAACCTTCCTTACCCCATCTGTCACTGAGAAGAGGAGCGGGAGGAGGAAGGGCTGTGGTAGGACCCCGGTCTCCTGGCAGGAGCCGCATAAGAGGGTGGGACAAGGGACTGTGGCGAACACCAGCAATCTGTGGTTAGGGCTAGGACAGAAAACCCAGAAGACCACTGGCCACCTGTGCACAGGACGCTGACGGGCTCAAGCTGGGGGCTGCAGGGCCCAGAGGAACTGGAACCATCTCTGCACACAGATCTGCAGGGAGCTGGGTCACCCTGAAGGGCAGACCTGCCTCCTCTAGCTCTTCCAGGGTAAAGCCACAGCTACGTCACTCACCTCTGAATATCCGTCCATGCAGATGGGACAGCTGACGGTGCCAGAAGGCCTAAAACCACAGTGCTTTACATCAGTTTCTCAGCAAATCAACACCCGATTATCCTATTCACCTCTTACAAGCAGCCCATCGCCACCCGAGGCCCCTCCCCTAGCCTGACTCTACCTCATCACAGGTATGGGAGACTTGGGAAAGCAGACTCCCTGGGGCAGTCCCCTGCTGGCCTCGAGAAACTGGCGGAGAGAAGGTGCCCTGCACACCCAGGTCACTGGAAACAGCTCAGTCCAGTCAGCCCCAGTCCCACACCAGGCCACGGCCCCCAAGAGCACAGCAGCACAAGGGGCACATGGGTACCTCAGTCCTGTGGCGCCATCATCCCGGGCACTTCTGGGAGCATGGGTGGTGACATACACATCCCTGTCCCTGGGCAGCTCCTCATCATCGCTGCTTACCACACAGCTGTCCGTGTGGTCCTGGCGCAGCCTCCTTGCAGTCCTCCTTGGCTGCCTTCTCTCTAGGTTGAGAGCCGATTTTCAGGGTGGACACTGCTCTCAGCACCCTGCCCTGGGCCTCTGGAAACTCCCTCCCTGGGAACCACCAGAGAGACTCCTGCCCCTCCAGTGCCACTCGCCTGCTTCTCGCCTTCCCGTTGCTGCCCCATCTGCTATTACGCACTGTCAGCCGTCTCTGCCACCCAGTCGGCCACAAGGTGATCAGTGCACATGACATCGGGAAGTGGCTCTTCAGCAGGCCCAGGGGGAGGACTGTGGGTCTGACCCAGTGATCACAGGCACCTTTCTGCCCAGGTTTTCACCCTGAAGATCGTCCAGTGAGGAGGCCTACAGCACTGCATCGAGCCACCCCGCCACACTGGTTCTCCCCAAACCCAGAGAAAAAGGACATGGAACCACTCACCTTCAACGATCTTTGACAAAGGGGGAGAAAAAAGAGAAAGTGCAATCAGTATGACTTCAGTGAGAGACACATTTAAAGTTCCAAGCATGAGACCCTCTGGAGGACCCATGCCCCACCAGGGGACGCGTGCCCACCTGGTCAGCCCCACCCCCAAGGGTCCCTGCCTCCCAGCAGCTGACATGGGGAGCCCCATTCCGCTGGTCCTGGCCAGCAGTGTCCCGGTGCCTGGGCACAGCCACACCAGGCCCTGGACTGTGACCCTGAGATTAGTTATGGCTTGGAAGCTGCAGCTTCCCATTCTCAAAAGCAGAAGCCCAGTGCCCACAGCTCACTGTGCCTCCACCAGTACACAGTGAGACAAAGGACTCAGCACAGGGACAACGACACGGGCTCAGTAAATGCCAACCACTGCCAAAGACGGGAGAAGGGTCTGCAGTGCTTAGGGTTCTTACCATGGCTAAAGGAGAGGCTGGGTGGGGAATCGACACACCTAGGGCTGCCCCACACTCCACAAGCCCTTGCCCTGCAGAGACAGGAAGGTCTAACGCCACGTGACACCTTGTAGCTGTGCTCCGTCTGTCAGACAGTCATGCTACTGTGAGGGCACAGCCTCCTAACCCTCCTAACAAGGAGCTGCAGCCAGTGACAGCGAACCTATGGCAAGCCTGCCCCAGCGAGCTGTCTGGATCACTGAAAGCTCTGAGAGGTTCACCACTGCCAGGATGCAGCAGTGCAGGGACAGATCCCGGCACCTGAGCTAAGCCCCACAGCAGACACAAGGTCTGGAGTCTCTGAAATGTAGCCTGCAGCTGGCTCCTCTAGGCCCCCCAGTGCCACACACACATTCCTGCCCTGCACTCCAGGCCCTGAACAGGGTTCAGTTCCTGACAGCCGAGCCCGGGTGCCCAGGCATGAAGGCCTGCCCTCTGCAGATGAGAAAAGAATCTGCACTGGGCTACTGGGCACCAGGGAACCGCATCCACAGGGAGGTGGACTGACACGAGCCCCAGAGGGAGGCTCTGCTGATAGTGGTGGTCTTGGGGAAGGCCCAAGGGACCTCCAGAACTGTGTGGAACATGCCACCTGCACCCGTGCAGTGCTTGCCAGGCAGGGAATGGGGAAAGGGTGTGTATGGGGCACCACCAACGTCCACCAAAAGGGCCAACAGACAGGCAGAAGCACAAACAACTCAGGACCTCTGGTCTGAATGGCTGGACTTTTCCAGTTTTGTTTTTGTCTTTTTGAGACAGAGTCTCGCTATGTGGCTCAGAGCTGCCTCTAGTGTTCCTCCTGCCTCAGTCTCCTGAACGCTGGCTGGGATTATAGGCGTGCACCACCACATCCACGCAACAATCACCCAGCCCCAGCCTGAACATTTTGGTTAGGTCTGTGAGGAGCTGGCCCAGGATCAAAGGGCACACATTCTACTGTCTCTTCTGCCTGTTTCTTTCTGTGTTACTAGGGATGACTCTGGGGCTTTTGCACTGAGCTTCATCCCTAACCACCACCCCCCTTTTTTGGTACCAGGGATCAAACTCGGGTCCTTGCGCTTGTGCAGCAGGCCGCAAAACCACTGAGCTAAATCCCTGGCCCTCCTTTTTGTTTTTTTTTTAGATGGAGTCTCCCTATTTAACGAGCATTGTTTTTTGGTACCAGGGATCGAACGCAGGACTTTGCACTTGCCAGGCAGGCAGCAGAACCACTGAGCTAAATCCCCGGCTGGAGTCTCTCTATGTAGCCCCAGGCTAGCTGCAAACTTGTGGCAGCCTCAACCTCCCCAGTGCTGGGATTACAGGTATGCGCTACCATGCCCGGCTTTACCTTTTAATTAGTCAACATTGGCAATACGATTACATTCATTGTGGGGAGTTGGTACATGTACCCCTGCCCTTTCTTATCTTTTGAGATTTTTTTTTTGTACAGGGATCGAATTCAGAACCTTGCACTTGCTATGGAGGCGCGGTGACACCGAGCTAAAGCCTCAGCCCAAGATAGGATCTGGCTAAATTGCTAAATTGTCCAGGCTGGGCTCAAACTTGATCCTCCTGCCTCAGCTTCCCAGAGTGCTAAGACCACAGGCTTGCAGGACCCTACCCGGCTGGACTGTCTTTCTTGTTTCTGGAGAGCAGGAAACACAGGCCAGGTCTTTAAAACCAAGTGGAGACTTGGACCAGGCACACTTGGTTGTTCACCCGAGTACAAGTGCAGTCAGAACACCCCAAGACAAGAGATCAGGGGCTGAGTCACAGGGCCTTGCCCAGGCCGACCCCCGAATTCCCAAAGCCGCTGCTCCTCGAGCCAAGGCCCTGAGAGGTGCCACGGAGAGCAGCTCCCACAGCACAGCACCCTCCAACCACTGCCACTGCACAGCACGGGGCCCTCAGGGCTGCTGCGCGACACAGGCAGAGGGACCAGAAGACAAGCGCTGCCCAGTCCACTCCCACCACACAGGCTGCCCAGTCCCCTCATCCTGTACTGCACAGTGTCTTGGTCAGGCCCTGCTAACAATGGCTCAATGAAAAACCAGGCAGGACACAGCAGGACAGTACAGAGGCAACCGACGATATACCAGGAAACCTGACCCGACGCGACACAATCTTTTACGACAATTTAATTACAATTAAAAGCTGTAAAATTTCTTTTTTTTTTTTTTGGAGACAGGGTCTTGCTATGTATTTCAGGCTGGCCTTGAACTCATGGTGACCCTTCTGCTTCAGTTTCCTGAGTGCTGGGATTACAGGCATGTGCCACCAGGCTCAGTTAAAGGCTGTACAATTTAAAGAGGTAATTCACGAAAGAGAAAAGTCAAGCATCAATAAACATAAAAGAGTTTAATCCCGCCCCCAGTGCTGCTGCCACCTGCCTGGCAAGCACAAGGTCCCCAGTTCGATCCCCGGTACAAAAAAAACAAAAAAACAAAAAAACCAAACAGATTAATCCCAGTTCAACTATTTAATATTAACTGATACAACCTTTGGAAAGTACTCTGGCATTAATCTAATAAAAAATCAGAAATATCTATCTATACCTTAGGAACCAGGGATGATAGCCTTTTCTGAGTTACGCAATGCCAAAAATAAAGTTAGCTTTCAGAGAAATGATCGAAGCAGAGATGTACAAAGTCTCACCGCCTCTCTTACACAATTTTCATTCGTCTGAGCTCTTTCGAGACTTTAGATTTCTGAGACTGGAAAAACAGCCAGATCTGTTGGCAGCTTCTAGTCTCAGGTTCATGGGTATCTCAAAAGCTGCTCCTGCATCCTAGGGGCCAGGAACCCACCAGAGATTGAGGCTAAAAGAGGGCACACAGCCTAACCCAAGAGACTTGCACAGAATGGTCAAGGTCACCTGACTGGAATGGGAACAGCGCTCACCTGCCGCCCATGCCCCAGTCCGCAGCGTCTATGGCCACCCTGAAGACAGCTCACCTAGGGCTCATGCTGTCAGGGTTCCCTAGCACTTGTGCTCAGAAAAGCAGAATTTCAGACTTAGGGTACATCAGTAAGTTGGCATTTGGATTTACGAAAATCAACAAAGCCAGGTCTGGTGGTGCATGCCTGTAATCCCAGCACTTGGGAGGCTGAACCAGGAGGATCATTGTGAGTTCAAGGCCAGCCTGAACTACATAGTAAGACCCTGTCTCAAAAAAAAAGGAGAGTATTTATAAAGGAAGGGCTGTAAGTCTGAAACAACTCCTTCTGGGCATGATGGTACAGGCTTGTAATCTCAGCTGAAGCAGGAAGACTAAGTTCAAGCCCCACCTCGGCAGCTTGGCAGCTTAGCAGAGCACTGTCCCAAAAAAAAAAAAAAAAAAAAAGAACTGGGGTAGAGCTCAGTAGTAGTGCACCCTTGGGTTCAATCCCCAAGTGCAAAAACTAAAACAAAAAAAACACCACAGCAAACAGCCAAAGCAGTCATTAGACCTGAAACCCGAACCCAGGACTCGGCTCCTCCCGAACTGTCCAGTTATCACTGTTTGTTTCACCTACAGCCTGCCTCAGCCATCCAGTCACGCCCTGGACAGCTCCCTTATAGTCTCAGGACCCAGGGCCCCCAGGAGGCTCCTGAATCCCTCAGGGCATGTACCCAGGTTAGCTGGGAGTGGGGTGGGGCCCAGAACTTAGTCCAGTATGAAGTGGGAAAGTTCAGCAGGAAGCAGGCAAGAGCAGTCTGGGCAACCAGGCAAGGAACGAGAGGACAACACTGTGCTGCCCACTGCTGGCTCTCCCCCAGGGCCCAGCAGACGAGGCCAGACTCGACATGGAGGGTCCCAAGTACTGGAGGACAGGACTCAGCAGCCCTTGCCGGCACTGGGCAGCAGCTTCAGCCCAGCAAATGAAGCATCCGTTTCTTGGATTGCAGGGAGCCCACAGGAATGAGCATCAAGGTTCAACCAGCACACACCCTCGGGTCTCAGCGGGCGCCTATCTCCCAACAGCCCCTGAAGCCACCCCTGTTCTTGTGAGGTGCTAGGAGTAACAATAGCACAACCTGGTGGTTTCTAGCCAAGACCAGATGCCACATCTGTTCCCACAGCTCCCTGTCCTACAAAGTCTAGAGGCTTTTCAGTGAACAGACTCTGATTCCAAGTTCTGAAGCCCACACCAACCCAGCCATCTCCAGGGCTAAGGGGACAACTCAGCAATAAGCACCTCCCACTCCTGTGCTGCACAGTCCTTGGTGTCCCCTGCCACACACCTGCCTAACACTGTCCAGTGCTGTCCACTGGATCCCCAGACCCACAGATGTGTCTCTGCTCCATGGAGCTGGCCTGCCACGGCCAGCTGCTAACGAGTGACAGGACCAGCCCCTCCTGCACACTCCCTGCCAGAGCTTGGCACAGATGCTACGGGCAGGGGCCCAGGCTCACAGGCACCATCCTCCCTGGAGTCAGGGTGGTCCATGCACCAGGGAAGGCAGGGCACCTGCTTCCCCAAGACTGAGCTCACTGGCAACTGTGTCTGGAACCCAAAGAGCCCATTCCCTTCAGCTGGGAGGGCAGAAACTCACCGCCCGGGCACTGCACCCAGCAGCAAGCACTGTAACGCCCAGCACCCTACTGACACAGCCACCCTGTCCCCACAGTACTGATGGGTCACAGCTGGTGTACGCTGTGGAGTGGGTAAGGGAGAAATGTGGAGACCTTGGGAGTCTCCCCAAACCACTTCTATGCCCAGTTATGTAAAGATCAGGGTCACAAAACTTGCTCCCTTGCCAACAAAGCCACACAGATGATATTCCTGATATATTTTTCAGGCTGGGTCCCAGTCAATCAATGTCTGGTCTTCCTGGGCACAAATGACTCTGACCCATAAGCTGTGACCCAGGCCTTCGGGTGCCACCACAGGCCAGGGACCCACACCACAAAGGCAGCCAACAGCCCCACACAAACACTTACCACAACAGAGTCATTGTGAGTCAGGTCGACAACCACGGGCTCTAATGATTCACATGTGAGGTCCACGATTTCATCTCCAGCTTCAAAATAAAGCATGTCAGGGAGTGTTAGCAAAGATGGGTGTACAAGTCCTCTGAGCTTGAGGGACACAAACGAAGTGTGGGACAGGCTTGGCTACCAAACTAGAACTCCTGATGAACACAATACACGGAGAATCAAGATGGAAAACATCCTTCCAGTGCTCTGCAGAGACGGGCGCCTGGGCACTGCTACCCACCACGCCACACTCCCACATGGCTGTGCTCCAAGCAGCGATTTCATCAGGTGGGGAGGAGTCCAGCAGACTCGTCACCTCCACTCATCTCTCAGGTGCTCCGTCCCTTGGGCAGAGAACAGGTGATATTTATCACGGGTTCCCTGGAACCCCGACATGCCAGAACAGGCTGGGGCACCGCATAGCTGGCCTATTGAGCTCTAGTGTATACTGAGAGTGGGGAGCTCACAGACCAAACAGACAGTGGCAATTATGTCTGGAAGGTGGGAACGAGGGGCAGTGTCCCTTCTGTTTATATAAACCAAAGAAAAAGACCTACAGCCATTTTGTTTCTGGTTACTCTTAACATTAAAAAGCATGAGGCTAACTAAGCCTTTTTTTTTTTTTGGTACCGGGGATCCAGCTCGAGACCTTGCGCTTTCGAGGCAGGCGGTAGAACTACTGAGCTAAATCCCTGGCCCAAGACTTTTTTTTTTTAATGTCTTTATTTTTGAAGACTGCACCTCATTAAGTTGCCTAGTCTGACCTTGAATGTGTGATCCTCCTGCCTCAACCTCCCAAGTAACTGGGATTATAGGTGTGGCAATATTTTTTTTTGAGACAGGGTCTCCATACATAGTTCAGGCTGGCCTCTAACTCAGTGATCCTTCTGCCTCAGCCTCCTGAGTACTAGAACTATAGGTGTGTGCCACCACACTCCGCAAGATTTTTACAAAGAGTATCATTTAATATTTGATTAGGGAAAGTGACTTATAATCCATTAACATAGTCTAATTTATTTCTCTTTTCCCATACAGAAACTCCTTTAATGGCCCACCTGGTTTAATAACTGCCTGGACTTACAACCTGTCTTTTCTCTTGAATACTTTGGTACAACTTGTTGATAGAGCCTCCATGTCTTTTTTGTGCAGTGCACCTTGTTTATACAGTACTGTAATCTTTGCTGATTGTGTTATGCAGTGCAGCACTGTAGTTTCATGTTCTGTCACAGCACTGTGTGTTGAGTTACGCAGACCAGAGCAAAGTCACCAAGGCGGGGTTTCCTTGGACAACTTCGTTCTGAATATTGTTAACGTGTACACTATATACATAAAATTCCCCATTTAGCAACTGATTCATCTAACAACTTAGTCGCAGGGATAGCGCTTGGTCATTAAACGAGGTAGGACTGTATTTAGTTTCAGACCCAGGCAGTGGCAGTGATACATATCTATAATCACAGCAGTCTAAGAGGCTGAGGCAGGAGGATTACAAGTTTGAGCCCACGCTAGGAAGCTCATTCACTTAAAATTAACTCATCCTAAAAAAAAAAAAAAATTAACTCATCCTGCCTCAAAATGGGTGCAGTTGGGGGGTGGCCTGGAGAGCTAGCTCAGTCTGAAGGCCCTGGGTTCAACTCATAATACCACCAATAAAGAAACAAACAAAAACTAAATAAATGGCAGAAATAAATATACCATAAAACAGCGCAGATATCCACCATACTTTACAAAAACAGCCTTCAGTCTGTATGAACGGCAGCCTACTGTGGACCACGGCACCCCTAATTCATGGAGCCAGTCTGTCTGGTGGGCACAGTCTGCTCTGACAAGACACTGCTCCCGTGGCCCACTCAGCCCCTGCCATGCTTCAGGGAAGACTGCCCACAGGATGAGAAGTGCCACATCGGGATGAAGCTGGACCCTTCCTGCCCTGGTTGCTAAATCCTCCACAACACCATGCCTGGGTAGTTAAGTGTCACATGCAGGGACAGCACCAGCTTTGGGAGTCGAGGGCCAGGGTCTAGACAAAGAAGTGAAGGATTTTAGAATTTACTGTGAGAAACTAGACTCAGGTGACACAAAGAATCCCATGAAACGTATCTCACAATAAGCTGCTTCTCTGTAACTCTAAGGTGGTTCCAAGGTGCAAGGTTCCTGCTCTGGTGTACATGCCCTGCACAACCTCATTACCTTTTTTTGGGTGATGCTAGGGATGGAGCTGAGGGTCTCATGCACCAAGTGAGAATACCACATGCTCTAGCACTGACCTATATGCTACACTCCTCTAAGTTTTCTGGCATCACAGATATAAAAACCACCTTAATATACACAGAACAAAGGACGTGACTCAGGCCATCTGACAGTTTACTCAGTAGACAGAAGGGAAAATCCAATCTGGCCTCTGTCTAAACCAAATTGGACACAGGGAACTCTACTGATAAGTCTGCCTTCCTGAAAGTTTTGGTCTTAACAAGAAGCAGAAGAGGTGGCCCAGGGCAGTCTCCCCACCCCATCCCTGGCTGTCTTATGAGCAGGGGGCTAAAGGATTGGCCCAGCCGAGTGGCTACTTTAAACCCACAAAGACCCCAGGGCGACAAAGATGCAGGTGGGTAAAGATAAGATTGCACAGGCTTTGTGAAGACACTCAGCAGCTTCCACAGCCAGGTCTTAAGTGGTGCCATCTGCCAGGCAGATGATGTCTGTCCTGACCTGACAACTCAATGCAGGAGGTCCTCCCCATCACCCCACTGGAGGGTAGAGACGGGCACTGATGCCACAGAACACTCACGAGAGGCTGGGCGTGCAGGCGGACAGCAACATGGGTGCTGCCTAGGCTTAGGGTGCATGCTCCCTCCAACCACACCATCCCCACTTTAAGGCCAGGATGCAGTGTCCCTGGCAGTCTTACCCGTTTCCACAAGTTCTATGGGTTCTGCTTCCAAGGCAATCTCGGGGGTAGAGCCTGCCTCCCGAGTTCTCTTCTGGGCTTGTCTAGAACTTACTGTTCCACCACGACGCTTTCTCTGAGAGTGTCAAGGGGAAAGGAAGGATAAAGAGGTCAACATGGGAATAGTTCAACTGAAGAATGCAAATCCAGCAAGTAGCCCTGAGGTTGAGGTCCTTTCAAAACCTAAGATTCACGCAGACTGAATACTGAAAGGAACCATTGGAAACGCAGACTAGAAACTCTAGAGTGAAATGTTTTCATCAAACCATCAGTCTGTATGATATGCAGTGTCCTGGTGCTCAAATACCCTCTACCCTGCCCTGATTCTCAGTCACGAGCCCTGCTGGTCCCCACACTGGGTGACCTGGGACACTTACTCCAAATCGTAAAGTTCTTCACCAGCCCCAGCCTTGCAGAGCTGCTGCAGGACTACGTGAGCTGACACCTGGGAAGTATGGGGCACAGATGGAAGATGGTCTCACTGTTCCAATTCCAGATGCCTCACCAGGTGCATGCTATTCCTGGAAACTCAGAAGGACTGGACGCTAAGGGGAGATTTGCACGAGACCAAGAACATCCACAACCAGCCCAACTCCCAGGCAACAAAGAAAAGCTTGATTCCTTCTGCATTCTGACTATTGCCCTAGCAAACTCAGCTTTGGAACCGGACACTCACTTAGTACCTTCCCAAGGATCTAAGGGCACAGAGCATCCCCTGGGGGCCCAGAGGCAGGTGACAGCAGCTGGACAGTCCCAAAGGAAACTATGTGCGACAGATGCCTGGAATCTCAGGAGGCTGAAGCAGAATTCCAAGTTTGATCCCAGCCAGAGCTAGTTAACAAGACCCTGTCCTAAAAAGCAAAAAAGGCTGAGGATGTAGCTCAATACAAAGGCCCTGGGTACAATCCTTGGGACCATGAAATAAAAACAAATCCTATCGCCCAGGAGAGGGCTGGGGATGTCACTCAGTGGAAGAGTGGATGCCAACATGCTCGAGGTCCTGGGTCCAAGCCCCCACTTTCTTGAGGGGGGCATGGGAGTCAGACTTCTTTTTTTGGGGGGGGGTACCAGGGTTCCAACTTGGGACCTTGCACTTGGCAAGGCAGCCGGCAGAACCACTGAGCTAAATCCCCAGCCCGGGGGTCAGACTTCTGAGGGAGGAATGGCTCTGTGCTTCAAGGCCGCTGACCCTCCAACCACAGCTAAGCTCCACTGCCAGCTTTCAAGAACAACTCAAGCCACTTCCATCCTGAAGGACAACCAATCCCTCCCTCCCACACCAGGTTGAGGGACTGGTCATCCTTCACCCTTACTTCCTGAGGGCAGACAGGTTACCTCAAGACAGATCTTCCTGGAAAACTGCCCTCTGCCTGCCCATTACTGAGGTGTGACTCTCCTCTTTACCAGCTGAGCTAGTAGAGGTTCACAGCTCTGGGTGACGCTGGACCACCCAATCACAACCATGGAAGTTATTTAGGCCCTAACTTTTAGGAATTTAAACCAATTTACTATTTTGATGTTTGTTTCTAAAGCAGGCTCTTGCTATATATAGTCCAGGCCAACCTTGAATTCACTATATAGCCCTACTAGCCTCAAACTCATAACCCTCCTGCCTCAGCCTCCTAAGTGCCAGGATTAAGGCACGTGCCACCATGCCCAGCAGCCACCTATCCCCCCCACCATAAAGCCAACACTGTTTGGCCTGCCCAGATTCTGTCTGCACAGAGACGCAGCTCCTGAGAGAAGGCTGAGAACATCTATTCCCTGCAGGTGAGCGAAGGCAGGAATCTCCAGATAACAGGCCAAGCGGGGAGGCAAGGGCAGGTCTAGGGACACAGAGGCCACTGGGTACAAACAGCAACAGCGGGTGGAGGCTCACAGCTGGCTGGAAGTAGTCAGGAAGAGATGGAAGAGCAGAGGACCCACAGGAGGAGTCCCGCCCCATTCACTCCTCTTGCCACTGCCCCCTCCCCAACTTCACATCGCCACAGCATCCCCTCTGGGCCACCAGACAAGGAAGTTAGCCTGTACTGAGTTTAGATCAGATGAGCAACCTTCAAGAGCTGACAGGATCTGCTCTAGAGCTCAAGGAGCTGCTGCCTCAGGGTGACAACAGCTCCAACAGTGTTCACAAGACTGTCTCTCCTGGTCACTGGCAGCAGTCAGCCCTCAGCAGGGTCTCACCTTCAGGCTGATGGTGAGCACAGGTAAACCACACAGAAAGGAAAAGGGAAAACTGAGTTGCAAGTAACTAAAAAACCCAAGAGCCTTCGTATTTCCAGGACATGGACAACTGCTCAGAAAGTATGGACCATGGGACTCCAAGCACAGCCCTAAGGCTCTTCTCAGCCTTCTGTCTTGGGGCTCTACCCCTGGCACCTGGAACTTGGCTGGAACAAGCAGGCTGATGTAAGTAACAGAAACACACTCTTTCTAGAGCCAGGATCGCACAGAAGCACCTTACGGTCCACACTTCAACGTGCTACAGGGAACAAGGTAGTTGCTTAGCCCTGAAAATAAAATTCACAAGCTGGTAAAACTTACTGTACTCATTGTGCTCTCTGGCTCCAACCTACAGAACAGGAAGCGATCTACACCGAGGTTTACAGCAAAGTTGAACGTTCTCAGCCTCTCATGCCCACTCGTTACTCATCTTCCAGCTTACAAAGAATTTGGAGCCAGGAAGATTTCCAGTATCTTGAAGTCCTGAAAAACAAAGACACCAGCGTGATAAATGCTGGTACCTGCACTGTTGACGACAAAGTTCAGATCAATAATTTACCGGTCCTTTCTGTCACCTGGGTGCTCTGCCAAACATTTTCTGCAATTTAAGTCCACAATGTCAATTCTTCTTAGGAAATAACTTTTGCTGTACACAGGACTACTTGATCCCAAAGCCTCCAATCAGAACCACTACCCATCTCCTGCTCACCTGTTTCAGGGGAACCGAACTCAGGGCCTCATGCACTCTACTACCGAGCCACACCCTCCACCCAGACTGCCCCTTCTTGCAGGCAAAAGCACCTTGCTAGCTCCCAAGAAAAGAGAAGTCAGAACCCCGACATTTGACCACACCAACTCCTCAGCACCGGCACCAAGGAAGCCCTAAGCCTCAGGCTCTTCACGTAACTCCCATTACCCTCCAGAGTAGGGTGGTGGAGAAGACAAGAGCCACCCCCCACCCCATCCCCGAGCAGGAAGTTCCCAAAATGGCCCCAGCACTCCCATTCTGATCACAGGATGGTCCCAGATCCACTGTAATTCCTGGGTCCCAACATGCATTTGTTTCTGGTCCCAGTAAATGCCTTACATTTGGGTACACTTGTACGACATAGACCTTTTCCCCTGCAATATTATCCACCTAAATGGTGTCTTAGAATTGAGCAGAATCTAGAGAGGTATGGTGGCACATGCCTGTGATCCCAATACTCAGGAGGCCAAGCAGGAGAATCATCTGGAGTTTAGGCGAGCCTGGGCTACATGGTGAGATCCTGCCTCAAAATAGAACAAAACCAAAACACACACACACACACACACACACACACACACACACCCCCCAAAAAACCAAAACCAGAATTGAGAAGAATCTAACAAAATGGTCTTGTCAGAGAAGTAAGAGATGTATCTGCTAACCAATGGGAAATAAGGCTCACACCCTGGCTATCCCATAAGCCTCACACCCTGGCTATCCCATAAGCCTCTTGCCTCTTACTCCCTGGTGGGGCCGGCCTGGTGTGCATCTCCCCACACTGATTGATCCTTCCCCCCACACTTCCTAGATCTCTACAAGGCAGCTAGACAGGGCCTCTTCCTCCTCCTCCATATTCCACCAGTGCAGCAATTCATTCCAAGTCGAGGATGATCAAGAATGAAGGAGCTTGGACAGGAAGACAAGGTCTAAAGGGGAGGAGGAAGTGGGAGGAGTAGGGGAAAGGAAAGAAGGGAAAGGAAAAAATATGAGAAAATGAAAAAATGGAAACAAAGTCTTTGTAAATTGGGAGGGGTGGGGGGAGTGAAGGGAGGGCAGGGGAATGGGGAAAAAATAAGAACCTAGATAGATTACACAAAGGTACAAATTCCCAATGATGAAGTCATTATATTGCATACCTAAAATGTACCAATAAACTTAATTAAAAAAAAAAAGGGGGCCCCGGGAATTTAGTTCAGTGGTTTCGCCACCAAGCGCAAGGACCCAAGTTCGATTCCCGGTACCAAAAAAAAAAAAATGAACTTGGGTTGCAGATGTAGCTCAGTAGCACCACACCGGCCTCACAAGGCCAAGGTCATGAGTTTGATTCCCCAGTACAAAAAAAAAAAAAAAAAGGGAATTTGCCCTGAGTCCACAGCCTGGGTTCACATGGAGGCATCTGACACCCAAACCGCATACTTAAGATACTGTTGGCACTAGCATCAATTTCAACACCGAGAACAGTATTTCCAGGAAGGGACCCTTGCTTCCCCTGCCCCACAGCCCTGCCTCTGAGCACAGGGCCCCAGCCATCCTCAGTGCAGAGACAAGCCCCGCAGCCACTTGTGTCCTCTGCTCTGCACCATCCAGTCTCCTGCAGCAGCAGCTCGGGCTGAGGAGGGAGCAAGCAACTTGGGCAAGAGTGCAAATTCTGACGTTGGCCTCGCCACTAAGAAAGCACAGAGCAGGGCGAAGGCCAGTCCTGACTGGCTAGATGTGATGATTTCAAAACTTTTTGTGGGAGAAATATGTACGCCAAGGTACCTAGCTGGCCATTCTGCAACAATGACACCAAAAGACCAAATGAGGAAAGCTGAAAAGAAAAAGGTGCTGAGGGTAGTTTTACATCTGGGAAGGCAAGTAGACAAAAGAATTGGCAAAGAATGTAAAGGCCAGAAACGCAGCTGGAAGAACTTGGATATTCACTCAGACAAAACCCGTTTTTTAGGCTGGAGGTGTTGCTCAATGGCAGAGTGCTCACTTAGCATGTGTGAGGCACTGGGTTTGATCCCCAACACCACAGAAACAAAACCTAAATGAAAACAAACCACAAATCCCCACATTTGTTTCAAGGAGCAAGAAACAGTGAGCACAGGCTAACGATGGGCCAAGGGCACTGAAACAGCCAGGGAGCTGGATACAGGAAGTGACACAGGGACGAAGACAGGTCTGCACTCCAGGCCCAAACTGCTGAGGACCAGTTGGGCTGCCTGGAGAAGCTGCTGGCTCAGAGCCTGAAGTAACAGAGCTGGTCAAAAAACAGCTGGGACAGGCCGGGGATTTAGCTCAATGGTTCTGCTGCCTGCCTCAACAAGCACCCAAGAAAAAAAAAAAAAAAAATGGGAGGAAGGATGCCCAGGGAGGGACTGTGGGGACAGCAAAGGTGACAAGGGGTCGGATCACAAACCATGCCCCAAGAGCAGGCCAATCAAGGTCTTCAGATGGAGATAATGACTGAGACCTGCAGCTAGAGAAGTGTCACTCATGTTCCCTGAGGACAGAGGGAGACGGATCAGAATGTGGCCAGGGAGGAGACCACAAGTGACCACATGGCTTGGGGATGGCAGAATGCAGGGAGAGGTGACTGGCTGCACAGAACACAGGTAAGCTTCAGGACTTTCTGGTCTACTTCATCACTCCGTCACAGTTAAGATTTTTTCTCCTGGACCGGGGATTTAGCTCAGTGGTTCCGACAGCTGACTGGCAAGCACAAGGTCCCAAGTTCGATCCCCGGTACCAAAACAAAAAAAAGATTTTTTTTTTTCTCCCAGTAAATCCACCACAGACATTACTCAGGCAGGAATATGACATACATAGATGTGTCCCTGGCATCTTCATGTGGTTTTAACATGTACATGGCCTGTGATGCACACAGTGGCTAGAAACAAACAGGCAAGCAAGAAGAGAGAAGGCCAGATGTAGTAGCAAAGGCCTGTAATCTCAATACTTGGGAAGCTGAGGCAGGAGGATCAACAGTTTGAGGTCAGCCTGGGCTACATAGTGAGTTCAAAGCCAGCCTGAGTTATGTGGTGAAACCCTATCTCAAAAGAAAACAAAATGTCTGTTACCAAATCCCAGACCTCTGTATTCCTGAGAGCAAAGAAACAGCAGAAAAGGGGAATGGGGGGCAGGGCACAAAAGAAACAGAATGAGGGCTGGGGATTTAGCTCTGTTTCCACCGTCTGCCTCACAAGCACAAGGACCCGAGTTCGATCCTCGATACCAAAAAAAAAAGAGAAAGAAAGAGAATGAAGTCCACACCTTATGCCACAGGCCTCATCTGTGTGTCCAATATGGTTTCTAGCACCCAAGGGCAATTCTGTCTGGGACAGGAGCTATTCCAGAGGCCAGATAGGGCCATTCCTCAGTATGCACAGGTAAGTCCAGGACCCTGAAGACACCAAGTCCATCCACACCCAAGTTCCTCAAACGAAATGGCAGAGTTTGCATCTAATCTACACACATCTCCCTATATAATCCCTGGATTACTCGCACCTAATGCAAGATAAATATTACATGAGTAGCTATACTGTATTAAAATAATAGTTACAAATTAGGCATGGTGGCGCACACCTGTAATCCCAGCACTTGGGAAGGCTGAGGCAGGAGAATTGTGTGAGTTCCAACCCATCCTGGGCTACCTACTGAGTTCTAGGCCAGTCTGAAATATATAGCAAGACCCTGTCTCAACCAAAATAAATAAAGATAAATAGTGACAAGGGAAAAAAAAGTTTGTATATGTTCAGTACAGAGGCATTTTTATCCCAAGTATTTATTTCTTTTTCTGTGGTGCTGGGATCACTGGCACAGACAGGAAGTGGCTGACTCTCATTTTTCCCTGCACTGGCTAGATGGGTTGTGACTTGGCTGGTGGCCAGCACGATGCTACCAACCCCCCCCAACAACTTCAGTGTCCTTCTTGGCCATCAAACTGCCTTTCTCCACTCCAACATGAGTACAGCCAGGCAGGGTGGTACCCCCCTCCTCCGACCATACTGTTGCCTTTTGGGGAGCAGAGAGGGCACCCTGGTGTGGCTGAGACCAGGAAAGAGGGATCTGGGCCCATTATTTGCACACCCAACATTCACAGCAACTTTCCAGAAGATTCCCTGGTTTGGGGCCTTCCCCCGACTACAGAGGCCTGCAAGCTGCTACATAAGCACCACTTCCTGGGCACATCTGAGCTTCTGCCCAGGAGGGAATCCTCCTGTACTGGTCCCCCCTTCGCCACCATGCTGCAGCACAGAGCCAGTTAAAGACACACATCAGTGTTCCTGTAAACCTGCTCATGATTATTTCTGGGATAGTGTGGGTTCCGAAAGTCATGCAAATCTACTTGGGATTTGTATCCCGAGTAATATGGACAGAGCAAATAAACAGCTGTAACACCGAAGAGCTCAGAGGTCTGCAGCCAAGGAAGAACAGTGGCAGAGGCCAGTGCCTGGTGAGTCCATGTATGGCAGCAATGGCGAACCTTTTAGAGCTTACAATGATACCAACACCCTGCTGCCCACAGGTTTGCCACCACTGATCTACAGTGTCCAGCACAAGCTGGCATCAGATGGAGACAGCCATCAGCGGCAGTGACCACCGGCCGGCTATGTCACTGTAGGCATCTAGCATTACCTGGTGTTATCTGGTGACGCCAGGACTGCTGGCAGAGCTGCACATTACAGATTCACAATTTCCATCTGAAGCAAGCAAAAGAACTCTAGGCAGATTGGCCTCCTGCATGCTAGGTGAGCCCTCAGTGCTAAGTGTTTACGTATATCCCCAGTCCTTCTAAGCACTTCTTATCCCCAGTTGGTTGAATCTCTAGAAATAGAACCCATGGATTTGAAGGGCCAACTGGATAGTTTATCAAACAAAACAAAACACCAACTCATGGAAAGCATATTCTAACCGGAAAGATGACCTATTTTGATAAAACAAGGACTACAGTGTACTTACTACACTAGTAATGCTCTAAAGGAGGCAAAAAGATAGGAGAGCAGAAAAAAGATTATTAGGTGAGACAAAGGAAGTTAACCTTTACTAGGCAATTCCAAAAGTCAGCCAGTTCCAAATGATCAAAACCATTGCCCACAGAATATGGTCCAAAACCATCATCTGTAGTCACGGACACGAGCTCCTCAATGAAAATGCCCTTCTGCCCACGTTAAGGGGCTAAGAAACCGCTCCTAACTGTGTTACTTTGAGCTTGCTTATGGATGTGGGCTCCCAAAAGGTCCACAGCCTGGGGGTAGGGAGTGGTGTAAATGGCACATCAGCCCTTCTGGGGCATGGGGCTCACACAAGTCCCCAGAGATAGCTGACAGATGTTCCACGTATGTGATGTGTGGGTTGGTCCAGCTGCTGTTACGGTTTGGACCTTAAATGTCCCCTAAAAGGTCACGTGTTGAAGGCTCAGTGCCCCCTGGGAGGTGGTGGAGACTTCAGGGGGTAGGGCTAACAGAAGGAAGTTCAGGATGCCCTGGGACCAGGCTTTGGGGACCTGGCTCCTTCCTCTTTCTCTTAACTTCCTGGCACCCAGCCTTGTAAGCACCTGGCTCTGCCACAACCTCCCCACAGGTCTGGCCTTCCCACAGGCCCAAAGCAACAGGCCTGAATGACCTTGGACTAAAAACTCTGAAACCATGAGCCAAAATCAATCATTCCTCTTTCTGTTTAATTCTGGTATTCCGTCAGTGGGAAAAGATGATTAACACAGCTGGGTTCATTTCCTGTGGTCACCTAGTATCTCTCACAGACGAAACTGTGATCAGGAAAATCAAAATCACATTATGTCCAAAACTGTTTCCTACTGTATCAATCCCACAGGAACAAATCCTTGCTTCCAAACAAGCATTTCCAGCAGAAGCAACTGCACTTTACTCCAGGTACCCTGGGTGTCAGCCACCCACCCTGGGTTCTTTCCCATCACAGGGCCACATTCTGCAGAAGGCAAGGGTCCGGCCTCTACCACCCTGCCTCAGGGGATTCCTGTCCATTCTCACAAGGTCTACCTCAAAGGTTACTTCAATTCTCTCTCTGAGTCCTAATTTTATTATTCATTTTACTATAGTCCCTCAACTCAAAGAACATAACTCTAAATAGACTACTACCCTAACTAAGCACAGCACTTGGCACAGCAGGTAAATAAATTTTCCCCAGTGATATTATAACCCATGAAATTATCAAACTCATTAAATGTTTGAAAGAGATGTAAAATAAGTGGAAGAAACACCAAGGTTTTTTGGGGGGGAGGAGGGTATTCCAAGATGGGGAAACAGCCAGGCATGATGGTGCACTCAGGAGTGCTGGGGTTACAGGCATGCACCACTACAACAGGCCTGAGGAAACATCTCTACCTGACATGTTTTTAACTTACAGGAGGAGTAAGACCAGAACAGCAACCCAGAAGGTGCTTAGAAGCTAGGTGTGGTAGCACATGCCTGTGATCCCGGCTGCTCAAGAGGCTGAGACAGGAGGATCGAAAGTTTAAGGCCACAGACTGGAGTCGTGGCACTTGCCTGTAATCCCAGAACTTGGGAGGCTGAGGCAGAAGGATCACCTGTGAGTTCAAGGCCAACCTGGGCTACATAGTGAGTTCAAGGCCAGCCTGGGAAACTTAGTGCAACCTTATCTCAAAATAAAATAAACAGGGCTAAGAATGAGGCTCAGAGCTCCTTGGATTCAATCATCAGTGTGTTTTCCTCCCCCCAAAAGGTGCAAATTTTGGTACTGGTTACAAACATAGCAACAGTTTGGCTAAAGAAGAGATGAGGTGTAGCAAATAGGCAAGACCCAGGCCCTAAGACCACCTCCCAGAGTTGAAAGCAGGAGGGGAAAATTCGGGAATAACTAGATTTTTCGGGAACACAATGCACTCAATGAGAATCAACTTTTGTGAAAATATTTATAATTGGACCCCTTCTTGGGAGAAAAGAAAAATTAATATCCTCCTAATCTGAGAACAGTAAAAGACATAGGTAAGTCATTTCAAAACAAGATACTAGTCACACAACACAAAACCCACTTTTATACATAGCACAGAACAAATTACTCTGCACATTTTATTGAGTAAGCACCCCAAATCTTTTCCGGAAATTGTTGGGGGTGCAAAACTACCAGCCATAGACTTGCTACCAACCTTGCCTTAGACAAGCTAGTAGCAGAGATTACACCCATGTGCCACACAGACAGGCCTAGCTCCAAGACCACTAGTCTTGTCCACCTTTCCAATACATTCTTCTCACAGCCACGGTAATTTTTCTAAAACACAATTCTGTGTTCCTTCCCAGCGTAGCATTTAATGGTATGGCACAGAGTAAACTGTGAACTCCTTCACGTGGGGGCACCCTAAAGACCTCTGGTGTCTCATTCCTGCTTACTTCTCCAAACCCAACCTTCGCCACATTTCTTGCATCTAGTTTGCTGTGCAGGGATTTCCTTTCATTTCCTCCACCCTCCACCTTCCCTCAGCCCCAGAGGGCCAGCACTGTGCCGAGCTTGTTGTAGGTTATACCCCAGCAGAAAGCTCTGCACACAGAAGACCTTGATATGGTACTATTTTAGAGTATTTTAAGGCATGCATTCTCAAAGAGAGCACAAAATCTTATTCTATGTACAGACCACAAATAAATATGCAGTAGTTTTTTAAAAATATGGTATATACATGGCAGTAAAGGGCCGGGAATTTAGCTCAGCAGCACAGCACCTGCCTGGCAAGAGTGAGGTCCTGAGTTCCATCCCAGGTACCAAAGACAAACAAACAACCAAATATGGCAGTAAAATTTCATGGAGGAGGTGATTAGGAAATCAATGCCTGAAAAAACTCCTTACAGAGCTAAGTAATTAAGAAAAGGTTGATAAACACTACTAAAACAAGGTTCTCTGTTTTTGTTTTCTGAGACAGGGCTTGGCTATGTAGTTCAGGCTGGCCTTGAACTGGAAGCAATCCTCCTGCCTCTGCCTCCCGCTGGGATTACAGGAGTGTCACACAGGGCTTTTAAAGCAAGATTCTGGAATGAGAGTTGGAAAACAAAAACAGGAAAATACAAAAGCCAGCAGTAACAACACATCTCACAGTTTCTGAATCCAACGTCTCTCCATTAAAAAGCAAAATCACTAGGAAAAACAAAAGGTTCCCTTCCACATTCAGGAACTAGACTCAACCTGCTGCCACCTAGGCTGGCTGTGTGCTCTTGGGCCGACTCTCTCACCTTTCTGGGACTCAGTTTCCCGAACACTCGGGCAACCTAAACTGAGCGCTGGGCACGTTTGCACGCAGAGCTGGGACCCCAGGTCTGCCTCAATAACTCAGTGGAGAAGAACCAAAACAAACACCGCGAGGGGCCGTGATCACCCACAAGGGCGGGACGAAGGCTGAAGCACCCACAAACACAGCTTGCCAAGCTCTGCCCTTTTCCTCCTCCCTGTAAGAGCTCAAAGGCGGGCAACTGGTGTTCACCGGGCACTGACCGTCGTACACCCGTTTGCCGGTGCTCCGGAGGTGAGGGGCCCCAAGGCCCAGGCACACTCCTCACCCACCCGGGGCCCTGGAGCTGCGGCCCCACTCACCTCCCGGAGTCGAGTCTACCCTCCGGTACCCTGCGCCTTCCGGCCCAAAACGGTCCTGCCACGCGGGCCCTCGATGGCGAGGCGGCGGCGCGAGCACACAAAGGAAGCATCGTCATCAGGAAACAAATGAGCTTGCCCAGGCCTCCTCGCGAACTGCCCGCCCTGCCTGCCTCTTCGCGTGACCTTGGGAGCGTCCCACCCCTCCCCAGGCCTCGGTTTCCCTCCTTCGGGGGCAGACGCGGGCCCATCAAGCCGACCCCCTGACCCCCGCTTCAGATGGCGGTCTCCCCACTTGGGAGGCAGCGCTGGGCCGGGCCGGGCCTGGGGACCAGCTCAGACGGCGGGGTGGGTGGAGCCGGCCCAAGGCTCCGGGGAGGCCCCGCACTGGTGCGGGGTTCGAGCACGTCCGAGGCGCGCCAAGCGAGCGTCGAGGCCTCTGAAGGCTGCAAAGCCGCCCGAAACCCGCTTCCTTCCGGCCTGGACGTGCCGTTCCTTTCCTGCGAAGGCTGCGCTTAACTACAGCTTACCTGGTCACTGTCACCAACCTACTGGAGATAGGAAGCACCCTAGAGAGCTGCTGAGGAGATCCGCTCAAGCAAGACTCCGCCGTCTCAGAGCGACCCACTTCCGCTCCGCAGGCGGCTTCCCCACCCCTCACGAATTTCCATTGGCTGCCTCTGCCTCTACACCCGTGGTCCACAGGCTAAGGAGACTTAGTTTCAATTCTATTGGATAAGCAAAACGTCTATCACCTCTTTGAAACGAGCCTTCTTCCGGCCCCGCCCACGCCCGTGCGCCCGAGTTCCCACTTCCCGCGAGAGCGCTCTCGGCACCGCGCTGCCTGCAAGAGTTCTCGGGAGTTGTGTTTTAGGTGGAGGGAGCGCTGTCTGCGGCCGGGTTGTCGCCGGTTGCTGGTGTCCAGGGCCGCTGAGCTCGCCCTTTCGGTGCTCGCCAGCTGTTGTGCCCCTTGCCGGACGCGGCCGGCTGGCGGCGTGGGGAAAAACATGAGTTCCCCCCAGCCAGTCCGGGCCTCAGTTTCCTCTCCGGTTAATGAGGCCTTTGTGAGGAAACAGTTCCGCGGCCGGGTCTCTGACGATCTGCGGGATCCTCACCCCGTGCGCCAGGCCCTTGCAGACTAACGGTTGGAAGAGACCGGGGAGCACCGCCTGTCCCTTGGGGGGAGGGGGCGAGCCTAGATCTGGGAGGGAGCCGGGAGGAGGGAGGCCACGCCCAGCTGGCTGCCCGGGGTCTGGAGCGACCTCGGGGCGCGGGTCGGGTCTTGGAGGGCCCAGGTGCCAAGTCACCCGCTGAAACCGGACTGTCCCGCGACAGCTGATGTCCAGACCAGAAGAACGCTCTGGGGAAGGGCTGTGGCGCTGCAGAGGCTGGGAGCTCTCGGGTCTCCGAGGCAGCTCCTGCAACTCCCAGGGTCCAGAGAGTACGGCCCTACGGGCCCCCTGCCTGAATTTGAAATCCCACCGCATAGGCAGGTCTCATTTTACTTCACTGTGTTAAGATGATGTCAAAGAAAGAATTTGGAAGCTAGGTTGGGGCTATGACCAGAATCGGACTAGAGAGGTGGGCATGGGTTTCTTCAGCTTTAGTTCTCAAGCTGGGTTTGCATCTGGATTTAGTGAAGGGGGAGTTGTTCTTTTGTAGGCTAGACCTACTCCTGGCCATCCTCTCCGGGCCCTAGGTATGCTCAGGCAATGTGTGTGTGTGTGTGTGAAGGTACCCCAGATGTGTGGGATGGGTTTGTGAGACAGGCCTTTACCCTGGAAGTCTGAGTCACACGTGGGAATGACAAAACAGGTCAGACCCAGAGCGATGAGCTGGGCAAGGTAGCCCACACCTGTAAACCCATCACCCGAAGGCTGAAGCTGGACCATCTTGAGTTCCGGGCCTGCCGGGACTACATAGTGTAGGGACAGGGGGCTCACTAAGTAGGGAAAAGATAAGATGAAGGGCTCACTGAGCTTTATTAAAAGTTAATAAAACACCTCTAACCTCTGCATCCAGGCAAAGTCAGCAATTAGACAAAGGCAGCTAAACTCGAGCAATTAGGAAAACAAAAGTGAAGAAACTAAGTTTAGGAACCTCAGTGGTAGCCCAGTGGTAACGAGAATCGCAAACTTCCCCTTTACTTAAACTTGCCTGTCCTTAAAGCCCCCACCCATCATCTCACCCTCAGTGGGCCAAAGATCTCTATAAAAGGAGGTCCAGGGCCGGGGATTTAGCTCAGTGGTTCCGCCGCCTGCCTCGCAAGCGCAAGGCCCCGAGTTCGATCTCCAGTACCTAAATAAATAAATAAATAAAAAGGAGGTCCAGCTGAGATCCTCAAGCAATTCACTTGAATTCTCCCCACTTGTCCAGAGTAGCAGTCATCTCTTTTCCTCCTTCCTCATCTCCAAATAGTCTTCTTTTATTTTAAACTGCTTAATTCTTTACCAATGCTGGGTTTAGGGTTGCCAAGAGCTGCATGTTCCAGCAGAGCAGTGGCATGCTGTCCACCCCCGGACATTACAGTGTGGCATAGTGTGCCACAGTGTACACCCTTCCACAGAGATTACATTAACAAGAACTTGTCTCAAAAAATCAAAACCGGAGTGTTGTTTTTTGTTTTACAGTACAGGGAACTGAACCCAGGGTCTCACACCAGGCTATATCCCCAGCCCTTTTATTATTTTTTGAGACTGGGTCTCAATAAATCTAAATCACTAAATTGCCCAGCTGGGCTTGAAATTGCAGTCCTCCTGCCTCAGCCTCCCAGAGGGCTGGGATTTCAGGCACAGGCCAGCACACCTACCCATACAATCTGTTTGATATTCTGTTAAGTATTTGGCATGGTAGATATGAAACCAGATCCCAAGGTCAAATATATGTTTGAGCATTTGATTTTGATAGTGATTTTAAGTTGAAAGATAGACTTTTCAGATTTCCCTACCATAATTGGAATAAAGAGAGCTCATTTAAAAGAAATATAGACACGTAATACATCTGTGAGAATGTTCAAGTACTTGATAAGGCAGAAAACTGAAAGGCTAAAAAGTAAAATTAGATTCCACATGTATAGTTTAAAATGTTTAAGGAATAAGTGGGGCCATGCATAACTAAACAAAATAACAGTTAATGACTAGAGTTAGCTGGGCTTCGTGGGACGCTGAAGCAGGAAGATCATAAATTCAAGGCCAGCCTGAACCCGGGAGCTCTTATCCCAAAATGCAATGGGGCGGGGGCGGGGATAGGGTCTCACTATGTAGCTCAGGCTGGCCTTGAACTGGCATCAATCCTCCTGCCTTAGCCTGGGATTCCATGCAGGCGCCACCATGTCTGTCCCAAAATATAATTTTTATTTTTTTGGTACTGGGATCTAACTCAGGACCTTGCACTTTCAAGGCAGATGCTGGAAACACTGAGCTAAATCCCCAGCCCCAAAATATAATTTTTGGGGGGGTACCGGGGATCAAACTCAGGTCCTTGTGCTTGCAAGGCAGGCGGCTGAACCACTGAGCTAAATGCCCAGCCCCCAAAATATAATTTTTGAAAAGGGCTGGGGATATAGCTCAGTGGTAGAGCACTTGCTTAGCATTCGTAAGGCCTCGAGTTCAATTCCTGATACTGAGAAAAACAAAACAAGACCAGATTTTTAAATAGAATAATGTTAGTAATTTGCATTTCACAGCCTAAGGAAAAATTAGGATTTTCTGTTTATAATTTTAATACACTGAAGCTGGGATGTTGGAAAGTAGTTATCACAAATAGCCCAAAAGCTGCCTTCAAATCTTCTCTGAACTTCTCTTGACATTGAAGTTGCGCCCTCAGGCCCTAAACATCCCCAGTTTGAAGAGCAGCCTGGCACCTTGGGGCTCTTGTAGTCCCACCCATGGGAATCAGCCAAATGCAGGTTCCTGGGCTCACACCAGCTGCAGACCCTGTGTGGTGGGGTGTATGAATCTTTGGGAACAGCTCTTGCTCGAAGTGTCTCCAAACTGCCAGTGAGCGGCTTCTGACTGTGTGTACTCAGGTGGAAGCTCCATTCCCAACATCCAGGGGAAAAGGCCCAGAAGGAATACTCAGCCAGCCTCACTTTCAAATGGCCCACGCAGGGACAGAAGCAGGGTTGTCCATATGAACACTCCTCTAACGGGTGTTGGTGCAGTTCTCATCCGGGCTGGCCTCATGTCCTGGTGCCGGCTGATTATGGGATGCTCCAGGATGCTCTCAAGGACAACTGGCTGTCCTTCACGTGGTGTCTCATGCCAGCAGGAGCCTTGGTCATGCTCACGGGACTGGGCAAGTTTCCAAGAGAACAAGTGAGACCTCCAAGGCCACCTGAGGCCCAAACTCTGAACTGATAGCCACTTCAACTGCAGGTGTTGGCCAAAGAGGAAGTCAGACCAGGTGCAGGGGCTGGACATAGACGTCACCTCTTGAGGGGAGGTATAAAGTCACAAAGTGGCTACAGGGATACAGTTTGCCATCATCCTACACACTATGTGACCATTAATCCAGATAGGTCAATTCCACTGGACTAGAACATTAAGAGAGCACTCCCCCAGATGTATCTGGGTGTCATGGAGGCGTGACCTTGAGGACTATAGATGGGCCTGGGCCCTTCCTCGCTGGCACTGTCCCCCCACTCTGCTTCCTGGCCACCATGAACTAAGCACACTCCTGCCTTGGAGCCAGCTGACCATGGACTGAATCCTCTGAAACCATGAGTCAAATGAACCTCTCCTGTCTTAGTCACTTTCTTCATCCCTGGGACACAATACCCAACATTCACAAATTAAAACAAGAGAGGTTTTAGTCCACAATCCAGTGAGTCCAAGACAGGATAGCATGACAGAAGAGCAGTGGAAAGCTGCTCATGTCTTAGGTACAGGAAGCAGAGAGAGAAAAGGAAGGAGCTGGGGAGAGATAGAAATTCTTCCAGGCCACGACCCAGTAACCCACCTCTTTTCACCAGACCCCACCTCCTACTTCACAGCAAGTCAGCTGCAGGGCCTCCATAATTCAATCACCTAAAAGCCCCACCTGTGAACACGAGGCTCTTGGGGGACATCTAGATATAAACCATAACACCTTTTAGTTGTGGGTTTCGGGTATCGTGTCTCAGGGATGGGAAAGCTGACAAATCCACAGTGCCTGCCCTCCCAGGCCTCAGTTTCAGGGGGCAGTCCCCTCCGCTGCTGTCAGGTGACTGCGGGATGCAGGAGGGGACTTGCTGACTGCCAACCAGCACAGCTATAGAACACCGGATGTCCCCTCTGCCCAGCGGGTGGCCTAATCAGGCGAACCACGCAGGCCTGCCCCTGCGCCTGCAGAGACCGGTTCAGCACCAGCACGGTAAGTCACGCCAGTGACACCAGGGCTCTTCCACTCCAGCCGGAGGCAGCGCTCCAGCATCAGGCCATCCTGACATCGCCCTCCCTTTGGCTTGCTGCTCGCGGGGGCCATAAATCCCTCACAGCTCCTGAGGGACTCTGCACCAGACCCTCAACAAATCCCCTCAAGTTAAATGAAATGGGTTTGAACCATACAACACGGGTCACATGAAATGTTATTTTTATTTCCCTAAATGAAAGTTTATCCTCTCCCAGCTCTGACGCAACAAGGAGATGGCGATTCCTCTCCTTACCCACCTGGGATGTGGGAGAGTCCCGAGATCTGGTACAATTCGGACGTTACCGCTGAAGCGCGAGGTGCCGCCACCTGGTGTCTAGCGTCCCTCTGACGAGGCAGCTCTGCGAGGTCCGGGGCGATGGTGGGGCTGGCGGGCCTCTCCCCGACTTCACCCGCTCCGGTCTGGCGCGGGGCCGGGGTAACCTGGAACAAGTCCGCCCGGGTCCCCGCCTCGGCCCGCTGGTGCCCCAGTGGCCCCAACCGCGCTGGATCCGGGCCCCTCCGGTGATGCTGGAGAGGCCTCCGGGCACGCGCTCACACAGCCCGGCTTGGGGCTCCCAGGCGAGGGCCCGGCCGGCAGGGGTGCAGATCCGCGTTTCCACGCGCGCAGAGGGCCGGGCTCCGTGTCTGAGACGCCTGGCGCCAGTGAAGTTTGGGTTCTGGGAGAAGCGGGTCGGGCTCAGCGTGGCTGCCGCGCGCGCCCGGGCGTCCAGCGGTTTCCCGGGCAGCCCCGCCAGGGCAGGCGCGGGGCTGGGGAGGCCAGGGCTCAGGCGCGCTCCGCGGGCCCCGGGGTCGGGTCGCCCCGCACGCTGCGCTCGCGGCTCCGCTCCAACTCCTGCCAGTGCTGCGCCTCCAGCTGTGCCTGCGGGCGGGGGCGGTTGACGAGGGCGGGGACGCCGAAGGCCCCGACCCTGCCCCCTCCTCCCCGCGCGCTCACTCGGGGCTGAGGGCGCGCGGTCCCGGGCGCCGGCACGCGCAGCGGGGCCGCGTACTCGAGGCGTTCGGCAGCCCTCGCCGCGATCCTGAGCCGCAGCTCCAGCACGCGCTCGTCCGGGGCCGGCGCTGGGGCGACCCGCTCCTTCTTCTGCTCCCACCTGGCGGGAGCGCGCTGAGTGAGCGGGGCTCCTACCTGAGCCTCTGCCTTTGCGATCTTTTCACTGAACCTTTTTTTTTTTTTTGGTACCGGGGATCTAACTCGGGTCCTTGCGTTTGTGCAGCAGGCAGTGAAACTGCTGAGCTAAATCCCCGGCCCTCACTACTTAACCTTTTTTTCCTTTCTGGTGGTACTGGGATGGGGGGGGTCAAACTTAGTAGGGGTGCCCTACCACGGTGTTACAACCCCAGCACTTTTTGTGTGTGTGTGGGACAGAGTCTTGCTGAATTACTCAGGTGGGACTCGAAAGTGCGATTCTCCCGCCTCAGCCTACCAGAGCACTGGAATTACAGGTTTGTGCCAGCGAACCCGGCTTTTAAAAATTGTCCTCATAGAGCAAACATTACATGTATACTAACAACGTGTGTAATGAGAGTTAAAATCCGAACGCCCCTTTTATTGCCCCTGCCTGGAGGTGACCACTGCTAACACTGACCTGTGTCTGCACATTGTCGCCCACACCTGGGCCCTCTTTGATGTCACCATGTGTCACGCACTCGCATCCCCCCCCCCCCCCGGCTCTGGGCTGATGGTCCTGACCCCCACATGGAATGGGGGCCTGACGCAGGCCCTCGAGGCACCCTGACGTCAACCAGGCTGCTCAGGGTCTGCCAGGCAGGCCAGCAGCTGGGTGTGGCCACGGTGGGACACTCTTGGCCAGTGAGGCCTCCCGGGGCCATGGCCTCCTCCGGCTGCAGCCAGAACAGCAGTGGTTCCGAGGACCGAGGCTGGCGAATGGGTTCACCCTGGTCCTCCGTCCCCATCACCCCACCCCAGCACTGCTGGGAGACTCTCTCTTGAGCCCGAGGGCTCTGCTGCAGTAGGTCTGGGTGCTTCCTGGGGATCCGGGTGAGGCCCTAAGGCCACTGTGACCTTGGGTGGGGTGGGCAGGGATGCCTCCCTGGGCCTGACTGGCCCACCATGGGACAGCCACCTGGGGCTGGGAAAAGTTACCACAGTGTCCCAAAACAAATAAAGGTGTGTGTGTGTGTGTGTGTGTGTGTGTGTGTGTGTGTGTGTGCTGTGTGTGGCCCAGGTCCTCATTTAGTTGTGGGTTTTTTTTTGAGACAAGGTCTCGTTATGTAGTTCTGGCTGGCCTTGAACTACGTGGCCCAGGCTGGCTTTGAGCTCGCCATGACCCTCCTGCCTCAGCCACCCAAGTGCTGGGATCACAGGCGTGCGCCACCACACCTGGCCGGGTCCTGGTTTTAAAAGAAAAAAAAGTTATAGCAAATCTTTAAGAAGTTTTAGCAGTCTTGGGACTGCCAGAGAAGTGTGAATATGTTCAGGATATTTAGGTGAGGCTGGGAATTTTTGTTACCTTTCCTGGCTGTATCATGGTGCTGAGGTTATGTAGGACAATATTTTTTTAGAAGATGCACGCTTTGCTGTTCAGGGAGGAAGCATCTGATTCCTATAACTATTTCCAAATGGCTCTGCAGGCAGATAAGCAGCTAGCTAGTTACCTGGGTCACATGGGACAAAAGCTTGTCCCCGTGACCTAGGTGCCAAGTAACTGCATCTAGGTCGTGGGCATGGAAGCTTCCATCTCCACCATTCCATATACCTGAAGTCCTCTACTAAAATCAGAGATTGGGGTGCTAAGCTGGGGACCTGCCTGGCAGGAGTGCAGGCGGGCTCGCTGCAACTGCCCCTCTAGGAGTGCCCTTCCTGGCCCGGGCACCCACCTCAGGGCCGCAGTTCTTCCCACAGCTGCACGGCACAGGGATATCAGCTCCACTGTGTTCCGCAGCTCCTCACTCTTGGCACACTTGTCCCGGATGATCTGATCGCGCCTCTCTTCCTCCTTGCGCTTCTGTGTCTCTTTGAGCAGGGCCAGCCGCTCCCGGAGCTCCACAACAGACATCTCCCCCTCCAGGCCGTACCCTGGGATCTGGAGGTGGTGGTGGTGGTGACCCGTGCAGGGCCACCCCCACCCAGCAGAGCTCCTTCCACATCCTGACAGGCTACCTCTGCTGGGGGGCCCCTCACCCTTGGGGCCAGGCCAGACCCCACTGCCAGCTGCCCTGTTCCACCCATGGTCTGCCCTTGTCCCACAGCCTGGCCCCTCTGCGTTCACACACAGCCTTCCTTCCAGGAGCCACTCCCCTTAGTCCCAGGCTCCATCCGGTCTGGACATTTGGACATCTATGCTCTCCCCAGCTGCCCTTCCCAGCTCAGGGCTGGGGATCCCTGGCCCCTGGACACACAGAGCCCAGGTGGCTTCTCTGAAGCCTGCCTTGCCACCTTGGAGCCCTGGCCCCTGCCCTCACAGAGGCCTGGCTCAGAGCCTGTCTTGCTGGCCAGCCAAGGGGCCAAGCATGGAGCTGGCCTGCTCACCTGGGTCAGGTCCACCAGCTTGCCCTTGCGTGAGCGCTGTGTCTCCAGCGCGCGCAGCTGGGAGATGAACTCATAGCGTTGCCTCTGCTCTACCTTGGCCGCTGCCGCCCTGCGCTGCAGCAGCTCCTGACTCTCCTCAGTCACCTCCTGGACTTGGGGGCCAAGCGGGGGGCTGAAGGGGCCATGAGTAGCCATGCAGGGCCTGGGCTTCTCCCCCAGCCAGTGTCCCAGCCTGCCCTTCAGGGACAGCAGCTCAGGGTGGGTGGCCCCCAAGGCCCAGGCAGGGACAGCAGAGCTGGGCACCTGGCTCCTGCCGTACCTATCTGCTGCCGGGTCTTTACCAGCTTCATCTGAGCCACCTTGACATTCTTCTGCACCTCTGTCACCTGCTCCACCAGCTCCTTCATGGCCCTGTCCTCCTGGAGGCGTCGCTTGGCACACTGCAGCATCAGCTCCGCTGTCTGAGGAAGACAGGACCCAACGGGTGAGAGGCGGCCGGGGCCCCCTCCTATCCTGTCCCCTGGATGGACTCCCTCAAGGTTGGGCCTCCTTGCTTCCCTGGCATGGGCATTTGTTACAGCAGCCCTGAGGCACAGGGAAAGGTAAGATGCTCAGAATGGAGACAACTGGGTGGAGAACATGGGAGCTCTTGTACTAGCTCTGCAGCTTTTCTGTAAGTTTTTTTGGGGGGGAGGGGGACAGGGTCTTGCTGTGTAGTTCAGGTTGTCCTTGAACTCATGGCAATCCTCCTGCCTCAGCCTCCCTGGTGCTGGGATTACAGGTGTGCACCACCACTCCTGGGATTTCTTTAAGTCTTAAAACTGCCTTAAAATAAAAGATTTACTTTAAAAATTACTTTTTTTTTTTTTGGTACCAGGGATCAAACTCAGGTCTTTGCACTTGTGCAACAGGCGGCAAAACCACTGAGCTAAATCCCCAGCCCTAAAAATTACTTTTGAAGAGCTCGGTGGTACAGCACACACACCTAGCACTCTAAAGGCTCTGGGTTCTATTTGCAGAACTATAATAACACATTATGTGATATTTATCTTTATTTTTATTTTATTTTTTGGTGCTGGGGATTGAACCTCAGGCCCTGGTAAATGCTATGCATCCACTCTACCGCTGAGCTGAACCTCCAGCCCCACTTTAGAAATTTTGTATTAAAGTGGAAAAATAGGGAAATGGGGTAGAAAAAAATGGCCACTAAATACATGTAGAGTGTTATCTCAAATAAGTAAACAGTGGGCAAGGGAAGAAAGAGGCCTGGCCCTGCAGCACTGGCCAAGTGGGGCAGCTCAGACACTGTTGGCCCTCCTCCTTGGGTTTCAGCATCTTTTATTTTTTATTCTTACTTTTTTTGGTCCCAGGGATTGAATTCGGGTCCTTGTGCTTGCGGGACAGGCAGCAGAACCACTGAGCTAAATCCCTGGCCCTAGTCCAAAATATTTTTTAAAATAATAGGGCCAGGGATTTAGCTCAGTGGTTCTCCCACCTGCCTTGTAAGCGAAAGGTCCCGAGTTCAATCCCCGGTACCAAAAATAAAATATTTTGGATTTCAGTTGCTTTGCTACGGAAGTAAAGGTGGCTGGGCCACCTCCTCAGCTGTACTGGCGACAGCACCTGGCACAGGGTGGGGAAGGCGCAGTGCCCTCAGTGGAGTCTGCAGGGCTTCGAGCTGGCAGAGTACCGGCCAGGAGGGGGGCGGGAGGAGGAGAGGCGCAGGGCTGGGGGCGCCTGGAGCTCGGGCCAGGCCCACAGCAGAGTAGGGGGACCTGGGAGGGGAGCGGCTGGGCAGCCAGGTCCAGGGTCGAACACCCGGCCCCCTGTCCTTCCTGGAGTCGCCCAGGGGTCACTGGTGCCCGGTGCGCCCTGGGCCTGCGCAGGTGGCCCGAAGGTTCCCACAGGCCCCGCCCCCCGCGAGGACGGCTGGCAGAGCCAGCCCAAGTATGGGCGCCGCTCTGTGGCAAGTGCTTGCCCTGCATGCCCATGGCCCTAGGTCAATCCTGGCCCTGCAAGGAAGCCAAAGCCAAAGCAAAGCCTGAGTGGCATTTCTGTGGCTGGAGCCAAGTGGAAAGTGCTCAGGTGCTGCCCAGCTAAACCACACGGATGCAGTTGGACACACGCAGAGGATGGCGCCTGACACGGTGGGCTGGGGACACTGCGCCCTGGGGCACTGGTGTTGGCGCGGATACAGACACCCTGGACCAGTCTCACTGTGGTAACTGGCGGGGGCGGGGGGGGGGAGTTTTATTCAACGTAGTAATCTTTTTTTGTTTTGTTTTGTGTTTTGAGATCAGGTTTCTCTATGTAGTTCAGGCTGGCCTTGAACTCACTATGTAGCCCGGGCTAGCCTCAAACTCTCAGCCAGTGCTGGGACTACAGACATGCACCACCACACCTGGCCAATTAAATCATTTTAAAAAGGAGATAAAATAGCTGGGTGCAGTGGTGCATGCCTATAATCCCAGTATGTTAGAAGGCTGAGGCAGGAGGGTCCCAAGTGCAAGCCTAGCCTGGCATCTTGCAACTTTGCGATAAATAAAAAAGGGGGGCTGGGGATGTAGCTCAGTGGTGCTGCCACCTGCCTCACAAGACCAAGGACCTGAGTTCGATCCCTGGTACCAATAAATAAATAAATAAATAAAGGGCTAGGGATGTAGCTCAGTATGAAGGCTCTGAATTAAGTCCCCAGTACAGTACACACACACACACACACACACACACACACACAAAAGGTGGGAAAGGATAAAATTAAATGAGATAAGTATAATCAAGTAATTTAAGACAGTATTGGAGTTAAGTTAAAAATATCAATGTCACACTCATGATTTTAAAATACAACCTTGGTGGGGCCGCGGATTTAGCTCAGTGGCACCGCGCCTGTCTTGCAAGCACAAGGTTCCGAGTTCGATCCCTGATACCAAAAATGAAAGCCAGGGTGGTGGTGCATACCTGTAATCTAGCACTCAGGAGGCTGAGGCAGGAGGATCGCCATGATTTTGAGGCCAACCTGTGCTACATAGTGAGTTCAAGGCCAACCTGGACTACATATGAGACCCTGTCTCAAAAAATAAAAACAAGGAGGGCTGGGGATTTAGCTCAGTGGTTCCGCCACCTGCCTGGCAAGCGCAAGGACCCGAGTTTGATCCCCGGTACCAAAAAATAATAATAATAAAAATTTTAAAAATAAAAACAAAACAAAAAAATTCAGTGTCATCTAACCTGTGACTTGCTAAGAAAGAATACTAGTCATCTGAATATGTGTGGCTGCCGTAGGCCAGCAGGACACTGAAGGACACAGCCCTGGGTTTGGGATTCCAGCCTTCTGTGGCCTAACTGGAGACGGCTGAGGGGCGTGAGGTAACCCACAGTACTGGGTCCGGAGGGGCTCCCCCTCCCCAGCCTGCCCCTGGGCAGCCTGGGGCTCTTGGCAGAGGCGGCTCACTCAGGGTCCTGAGCGTCAGGAGGGACACTGCTGGGTCACAGCACAGTGGCCAGGACACCTGCAGCTGGAGGGGCACAGAGACTGCCCACCTGGCAGCCTGGAGGGCAGACCACTTCTGAGTCGTGTCACCCAACACAATGCACGTCACTGGTATCTGTTGGGCGGGCAGTGAAGCCAGTTGATGTGACTGTGACCCTCCTGGGAGTGGGGTGACCCGGTGGGAGGGCACTGCCGGCCCTGCCCCCTCCTCGGGCCTCTGGGCTTGAGCTGCTCTCTGTGTCTCCAAGGGACAGGCCCAGGTCTGCTGTGGTCCAGCTGTCACCGCCAGGGCCGTGGAGGGGTCAGGATGACTAAAGTCCCTCCTGCCAAGGGCCTGTGCCTCTCCAGGGAGCCTCAGCAGTCTCTCAGAGTCCCTAACCTTCGATCGGGGACAGCGCTTGGCCACCCACTCTGCACCGACCCCTCTCACCCCTCCAGGTCTTGTGGCCCTCAGAGGCCAGGGAGGACATGGGGTGGGAGGGTCCGTCCAGGACCGCAGGAAGGACTAGCGTGCAGAAGGGCCGGGGCTGGGAGTGTAGTGGCAGAGCGTGGGCCTGGTGTGGGTGAGGCCTGGGCTCCATGCCCAGCCCTGCAAAAAATAAAACTGAAAATGTGAAGGTTACCAGTGTGATGCAGCAAGGAGGGGAATGCCATGAAAATCACACCTGGGCCTCCCACTCCTGCGGCTAGAGGGAGGGAGTGCCCCATCCCTCCTGCTAGAGACACCAGAACCCAGGGCTATCCACAGCGGCATGAACCATGGAAAGTGGCAGGCAGACTGGCCAGGGCCCCACAGCGACGGTGTCTTGGCCCATTCTGGGGACAGGGCAGCCACAGGGAGCCAGCCCAACCAAGCCCACTCTCACTGGCCAGGCCCAGGAAAGGGGTGGCTGCAGAGCGGGGAGGACCTCAGAAGGCCACTGCTCTACTCCACCAGATGTCAGGGGGTGTACCATGGCCACCGCTCCACACCAGCACAGGCCCATGGCAGCCTGGACCATCACCCCACCAGTGGCCCCGTCTGCCAGTGGCACAGGGCCAGAGACGCCCAGGCGGACCTGACCAGGGACTTGGACTCCACGCAACCTGGCATTAACACAGTGCCACCCCTGCCAAGGCTGCAGTCACAGGAAGCCTCGGGTGCTGCTGACAGCCGGGCCACATGGGGAGCAGTGAAAAGGCGCTCTGGCATCCCCCAGCCAGGGAGGTACAAGTGGAGATGGAGCCAGGACCTCCAGGAATATCCCCAGACCCTGGAGTCAACAGAGGCTGACTGGGCACCTTGGACTTGTTCGCCCACTGGGCAGGAAGGTGGCAGTGCCCTCTCCTGCCTGCCAGGGTGGTGTCAGAGGCTTTAGTAGGAGCCAGAGGGGCATAATATGATGTCCCCCAAAGTCCAGGCTTCTGTGAAAGCTCAAGTGTCACACCAGAAGCCAGGGTGACCTCAAAGTGAGTGAAGAGGGTGATCAGCACATGCCAGCACTGAGATGACAGATGCTAGATTTCCAAAGGCCTCACACAGCACTGCAGAACTGCAGCGGTGGGTGAGGATGGCAAGCATGCTGCAAAGGGCTGCAGGGAGTTTCAGCAAGGAAGGGACGTCTTGGCAAAGACAGACATAAAAACCAGATGGAAATTTGAGGATGGAGAAACTAAGTTATATTTAAGCACCAGTGGCTGGGGTCAGAATCAGAAAGGAGGCCACAGAGTAAAGGATTAGGACTGGAGGACAAAGCAGAAGTTACCCCACTGGCACAATGGAGAGGACAGACTAAAAAACCACCGACCCTGAGGGCCTGTAGGACAATCACAGAAGATCTGACAGCCTTGTTATTAGGATCCCTGGAGAGGACAAATGGGCCAGAGGTTAAAAAGAAAACTGATGCCTCGAGCTGTCCAAATTTGCCAAAAAGAAGGGCCGGGGATTTAGCTCAGTGGTTCCGCCCCCGGCCCTGTAAACGCAAAGACCAGAGTTTGATCCCCCGTACCAAAAACAAAAACAAAAACAAATTTGCCAAAAAGATAAACCTACCCTAAAATCATGGCTACAAGTTCTTTAAGGGGAAAGACTGTGATGAGAGAAGAAATCTTGTAACAAGAAGAAAGAACATAGCAAACAAAAACATGGATTAAATGCAACAGACTTCCCTTCTTTTGTGTCTCTTTTGTTTTGTTGGTGTTTTGAGACAAGGTCTCACTCTGTAGCTCAGGCTGTCCTTGAACTCACTGTGTAGCCCAGGCTGGCCTCAAACTGGTGCCAGTCTTCCTGCCTCAGCCTCCTGGATGTTGGGATTACAGGCAAGTGCCACCACATCTGACTCTTTTGTGTCTTTTAAATTGTTTTGTGGTTGAACCAAAAATTATAGCATTGTCCTATGTGGCTGTACGAGTACATATATGTAGAAGAGACATTTAAGATAATGCTATAAAGCAGGAAGATGAAAGGACATAAAGGGAGCTGGGATTCTACACTTCACTCAGATTGGTAGAATGACGCCACCAGGAGATGGGATCCCATGCACTGCTGCAGTCTGGATCTGAAGGGGCCCCCACAAAGCCCCATGTGTTGACAGCTTGGTCCCCAACCAACAGTGCTGTGGGGCAGTGGTGGAACCTTTAGAAGGTGGGCCTTAGGGCTGGGGATTTAGCTCAGTGGTTCTGCCACCTGCCTCGCAAGTACAAGGTCCTGAGTTTGATCCCCAATACAAAAAAAAAAAAAAAAGAAGATGGGGCTTAGCAGGAGGAAGTGAGATCACCAGGGGCTGCCCTTGAATGGGACAGGACCTGTCTCTTCCTGGCTCCCATGGGATGAGCAGCTTTGCTCCACCATGCACTCCTCTGTGAGGTTCTGCCTCATCACAGCCCAAAGCAACAGGGCCAACAGAACACCTCCAATACTGTGAGGCAAAGCAGGACCTTTCTTCTTTTCAAGTTAGTTATCTCAGGTATTTTGTTACAGCAATGAGAAGGTGACTAACACATGTATATATAATGTAATACCCTGAGCAATAGTTAAATCTGTATACAGTTAAGAAACATACTTTAACTACATAAACATTACAAATATCAATCCCTGGTACCAAAAAAAAAAATTACAAATAGGTCAAAATGGAATTCTGGAAAAAGAAGTATGAGTAGCCCATAAGAAAACAAGAAAAAAGAAAATAGAGAAAAAAATAGAGCAAATGAAACAAATAGTGCCAGAGTTAAATCCTAACAAAATAATTATATTACATATAACTAACTGGTCTATGTATGCCAACTAATAGATATTGGTAAAACAGATTTTAAAATATGATCCAATAGGGCCGGGGATTTAGCTCAGTGGATTCACCGCCTGCTGCGCAAGTGCAAGGACCTGAGTTTGATCCCCGGTACCAAAAAAACCCAAAAAACAAAAAAAACACACACAAAAAATATGATCCAACTATATACTATCTATAAGAAACTCACTTCAAATATGACAGATTGAAGTAAGGGAATGGGAAATACATATCATGCAAACATTAATCAGAGGAAAGCAGGACTTTACTATCAGACAAAGTAGACTTCAGAGCAAAGAAAATCACCAGAGACAGATGCTACATAATAAAAATAGGGTCACTACAAAGAATGCATAGCAATTCTAAATGTGCATGCACCCAGTAACAGCTACAAAATACATGAAGCAGAACCCAATAGGATAGAAAGGGGGAAAGTTCACAGTTATAGTTGGAGACGTCAACACTGCTTCTCAGCAACCGAGAGAACAACAGACAGGAGGTCAGCAAAGGTCCAGAAATCAGCAACACTATGAGCCAGCAGGCGTGAGCTGGCACTCCCCAAACAGTCAAGGAGGCACGATGCATTCTTTTCAAGCCCACAGAGTGTACAGCAAGACAGACAGCACCCGGGCTAACACATTTAAAAGAACTGAGATCATCATGTGCGTTCACCAGCCACAATGGAAGCAAACTCACAATCAATAATGGGAAGATGACAAGAGAATCCCAAAGATTGGAAACCAAACAACACACTTCTAAATAATTCATGGTCTGGGAGGAAATCTGAAGGGAAATGGAGGAAAATACACTGAATTGGATGAAAATGAAACACAACATACCAAACTTTGTGGGACACAGTTCAGACAATAAGTAAAAGACAATGGACAGGATGCTTCAGGAGAAGAGCTAGAAAGTCTCAAATCAATAATCTATACTCCCATCTCAAGACCTAGGAACAGTAGAGCAAAATAAACACAAAGCAAACAAAGAAATAAAGATCAGAAATCAACAACAGCAAAATACAGTGGACCCTTGAGTTATGACCGACCTGACATACCAACAACTTGGGTTTTAACTTATGAACAAAGTCTTGAGTTATGACCCAAATGCCGGCTGCTTGTGCTTCCAGTTGGTCTCATATACAGATTTAACTCTTAGAGAGTTCTGAAAAGAACATTACAGCATCCTCCCGTGTGGGGTTCACTGAGAAATCCTGGGCCAGCATTTCTCTAAGGACACTGAGATCCGCCTGTGTATAGCAGAGAGACTTTGAAGGCTGTGTACAGGAGCCTGAGCCTTCATTTACTAATGTGAGTTACAAGCAGCCCTCAGGAACAAACTGAGTTAGTAAGTCAAGGGTCCACTGTAAGTCAGGCATGGTGGCACATGCCTATAATCCCAGGCATTCTGGGTTTTTTTTGGTACCGGGGATTGAACTTGGGACCTTGCACTTGCTAGGCAGGCAGTGGCATCACTGAGCTAAATCCCCGGCCCCTCACTACAGACATAAAATGGATATAATAGAATATTGCAATCAACATCTATGTACATAAATTGACAACTTTGTGAAACTGACCAATTCCTCAAAATAGGCAAACTATCACAATGCACTTAATATGAAACAGATTAAACGACTAGTCCTATAACTAGTAAGGAAATGGAATTTGTAATTTTAAAACTTCCATGAAAGAAAGCTCCTGCTGCAAGTGTAGCTCAGTGGTAGGGCACCTGCTTAGCATGCACAAGGCCCTAGGTTCGTCTCTAGTACCCTCCCCAAAGTAAACTAAACTAAAAAGGAAAGAAAAAGCAAACCTTAATATTCAATATGGAATATGAGTGACCTTCCCAGGCCCCACCTCAGGTGCTCTGTGGGAAGCATCTCAGGCGAGACAGATCCCAAGTCAGACTTGCTGGGGCGGGGCTGGGGCCCCCTCCTTGAGCAGGCCCTGCGAGGCCCATGGCAGCCACAGGCTTTCTGGGGGCAACATACAGGCTGGGAGCCCCAGCTGGACAGTGTGGAGGAGGCCTCTGGAATGGTACCATAGATGTCCCCAGCCCCCATGGGAGAGGCTGATGTTACTGCTAACCCTGACAGGTCAGCTTCATTGGTTTAGGAAGTCCAAAGCAGGTTAGTAGAGCACATTCCCGGGTGGGTTGTGAACATGTGACCTTGAGGTCACTAGGAAACTTTCCTCCGCCATGCCCTTCCGCCATGATGCTCCTGCCCTGGAACCAGCCAACCATGGGCTGAATCCCCTGAGACCTGGAGCTAAATAAGCCAACTCCTCTTTCAAGTTGCAGGTATCGGATACCTGATACGGATGCCATATGCAAACATGTCATATGCAGATGTGTCCACCTTGGGAAATTTTCTACCAGAACTGAACCTCTGTCCTCAGGGGCAGCCCAGGATCTGCTGACCAAGTGACCTGCTGGCAAGAGGGCTGGCAGTCTGGGGCAGGAGTGCTGGCCACAGTCACGCAGGCCTGGTGATGTGAAATCCCTGGAACCCCTGCCTGTTGAGGGAGGGCAGAGAATCAAGGCCACCCTATAGGTCTTAGGAGGACATAATCCAGAGTCAGCCAAAAGCCAGCAGCCATGCGAGCTGCCAGGCTATGGCCAGCCCGGTGCGTACCCTTGGTGGGCCTCGGCTGGCCACGGCCCAGGCTGCCAGAGGTCATGGCTCAGCCACCGCTGTGTACCCCTAGCTGGGCACATCGCGTGTCACCTGCTCCTTCTTCTGGTCTGCCTTCTGCTTGTTCTCCTGAAGGACGTGCTGCCGGGCCAGCACCGCCTCCTCGTGACTCAGCTTCCCCTGCAACCTGCGGCACTCACTCGCAGCCAGCTGCTCGGCCTGGTCCTTTGCCCGCATCTTCTCCTGCCACTCGAGGAATTCAGAGAGGTCCCCATACCCGTCCACAAGCTTGTCAACCCTGGGGACGCAAGGACAGAGATGCAGCTTGGGGTCTCTCCTATGAGCAGGGGCACTAGGAGGCCACAGGTTCCCCTGGGGGGCAGTGGTCCTCAGGGCACCTGGCCCACCCCCATCTCACACTGACTCACTGCTGTCCCCGGTCCTTTCCTCTGCACCCACCCACCAGCACGTCGTTCTGGGCCCCTCGGCCCATTTGCTTTGTCCCCATCTGTCCATCCGCCATCCCTGTGTCCACTGTGTCTGGAAGCCACCCCGTCGTCCTGTCTGTCCATCTGCCCAACTCAGACATGGAAGGATCCGAATGGGCAGCTTGGAAGGGGTCCGGGGAGGAGGTGACCCAGGGAAGGTTTGGGGTGGGCAGGGTTGGCGAGGCCCCCCTGCCCGGTCTATCTCTCCCCAGAGCTGGGATTATCTCTGTGAAGGTTGGCCCAAGCCTGACACAGTCCTGTTGCCACCTCACCCACAGGACCATACTAGGTACCTGCTTTCCAGCCCACTTCAGGCCCCACCCCTCCTAAAATCCCAGAATTGCCAAAGTGTTCAGTGCCTCTCATATGCTAATGAGAAGGCTGCTAGCTTTGGCCCTCGACAGGTTCTGGATGGGGCTGGTCACTAGAAAGACCCTGTGGGATGAGAGGACCACCCGGGCCTCCAGGGAGGATATCATCCTGAGGATGTCACCAACGGAGTCTGTGCAGTGCAGTCCTACAGAAACCCAAAGGACGTGTTTCGGGGGCTCCTGGGTGGTGGAATAGTGGAGGGTTTTAGACATCAGGCCTAGAGAGGGCATGGAGTCCACATCCCCTCTCCACTTTTCACCCCGGCAATATCTGTATCCCTGGAAATACCCTGTAGTCAAACAGTAAACGGAGCCAGGCGTAGTGGTGCACGCCTGTATTCCCAGAACTTGGGAAGCAGAGGCAGAAGAATGGCAGCTTAGAGACCCTGTCTCAAAATAAGAAAAGGAAAGGATTGGGGATGTAGCTCAGTGGGAGGCCCTGGGCTCCATCTCTACTACCACAAAAATAAACAGCAAATAAAACCAAGATGATGAGCCAGAACAGCAGAAACCCAAGGAGGAGGCTGGAGAAGCCCTGCTTTATAGTGGGTGGGTGGGAGCACAGGTGCTGCTGTGGGAGTCTCGGCTGTCCTGTCGTCTGGGGCAGGCAGGCTCAGGGCCCAGCTGTGACACTGAGCCCCGAGGCCCTGGACACGCCCTGCTGCTGCTGCTGCTGCAAGCTGGGGCTCCTGGGCCCAGCTTGTGGTCCTCCCCGAGCTGAGCTGCAGTCACAACTGCCCCGCAGGGGACTCCCCAAAGGAGGGCGGCAGAGAGCGCCCGGGGTCCGGCCCTCACCTCTGCAGCTCCTTCTCCACCTGGCGCTGGTACAGGGCCCCTTCCCGCAGGATGGCAGCCGCGTTCAGCTTGACGGGGACATGGTCAGGCTGCGGATGGGATGGGGGAGAGCAATGCCTTCTGCCTCAACATGGGGCTGACCTAGGGCCCCCAGCTCCTGAGCGGTGGGAGAGGTGGGGCCCCTCACCCTGTAGAAGGTCAGCTTGGGAGACTTCCGGATTCGAGGCAAGGTGGATTCAAGCTGCAGCTGCTTCTTGGGATCCTGCAGAAGCCAAGAAGAGACACCCTGGCACCTGTGCCCACTTGTGCCCCAACCTGCCTCAGTGGACAGCTGGCCTGCACCCCTGGAAGTCCACCCGCTCCCCCTGCCCTAGTCAAGCTCCAATGTGTGTTCTCACCCTGGCCCCTGGGCCTCAGTCCCTTGTGCCCTGTGGCCTTGCTGTGGTGCTTGGCAGCCAGAGGAGTGAGGACATGCAGGGTCCACTGGCCTGGGAACAGGGCCTTCTCCCCAGCTACCCCCCAGCCTGGAGCCTTGCTGGCTCTCCGCCCTATCAGGCTGCTCCCCAAGTCTCTTCCCGGCCTGCTGTGCACCAGGGCTCTGAGCCGCAGTGCAGGGGCAGCGGTGAAAGGCGACACTCGCCCTGGGCAAGCTGCTGTGGGCAGTGCCAGGCTGCCCAGTGCCCAGCTGCTCAGCAGCCCACATGGGCTGCGCTCCTGAGAGAGCCTTTCTGGGGCCTGGCTTCCCTTCCTGGGCCTCTGACTTCCTTCCTGGCCAACACCCCTGGGTTTGTCTTTGTGGTAGAAGTTCGATGCCCCATAGGGGCATTTGGGCACCCAGAGACAAGACGGCGGGTGCCTTCCATGGGTGCTGTCTTTCCCCAGGCTCAGGTGTGCCCTCACTGGCCAGCACTCTGTGTGGCCCCAGGACACTCCCAGCTGCACTGGGATCTGCCTGTGGCCTCCGCGTCACCACCGAATAGCGGCCTATGTTTCTGGTGCCACTGGGGATTAAATCAGGGCCTTCGGACTGAGCCACATCCCTGACCCTTTTGTTTTGAGAGAAGGTCATGCCAAGTCACTAAGTTGCCCAGGCTGGGTTTGAATTTGTGATCCTTCTGCCTCAGCCTCCTCAGAGTGCTGGGAACACAGGTGTGCACCACACCTGGCCAGTGGAACGTCTTTGTGACTGGCAGTATTACCTGCACGGGTGGTGCACCGTGGGGCCTGGGCATGGCGCACCTCAGCTCCTCCATATTGGCCAGCAGCAGCAGCTCCTGCCAGGACAACACAAGCTCCTGCCCCTCTGGCTAAACCCCCGCACCCACAGGTGTTGGGGGACACACATGCGGAGCCCAGCAACCCTCCCCGCAGCAGGTGCTGGGGACCCCAGGGAGGCAGGGGTCATGCTGCCACCTCGGCCTTCTGCCGGTTGAATCTCTTGACCAGCTGCAGCTGCTGCTGCTCCTTGGGCTCCTGGTAGGTGCTCCGAGGGACCTGTGGGGGGGACCTGGTCAGTGACTGCCACGTGGGGGTGTCTAGAAAGGCCAGGACTGGCCTAGGACATGTGGAAGTGAAGGGACAGTGGATGGTGGCTGGGGCCCATGGGAAAGGCCCTGCCCAGGAGCCTCTGGTGATGCAGTAGCAAGCAGCCTGGATCTAAGCAGGGGTGGGCAAGGGGCAGAGGGGAGGGCCAGCTGCTGATTGCAAGGATGGCAGAGGGCCTGGGAGTGCCAGGGAGAGAGGGAGATGGGAAGGGAGGGAGACAGAGAGAGAGACAGAGAGAGACAGAGAGACAGAGAGAGACAGAGACAGAGAGAGAACACTTGAGGAAAATGCACCCATTCTTGAGGAGATGGGGTCAGAAATGTTGAAGATCCAGATGGGATAGCTGAGGGTTACTTACCATCCAGGCCCCTGATCATCCATCCATCCTCCCACCCATCCATCCATCCATCCACACTTCCTTCCACTCACCCATCCATCCTTGCACCCACCCACCCCACAATTTACTGAGGGTCTGCTCTGAGCCGGGACTATGCTAGGCCTGTTGGGAATGTGGGACAGAAAAAGATGGGCATGGTCTGGTAGAGAAGAGAGACAATAAGCAGGTCCACAAGTTACTAGACTAACTCATCAATGCTACAAAGAAAGGGAGCTGGGTCACAGCGAAGGAAGAGGGTTCATGAAGAGTTTCTGTGGAGAGGTTTTCATGAGCTCTGAATGAGACGGGCCTGGGGGGGCACCAGGGACCTCCCAACACTATCCTCTTGGCCTCCGATGGCCCAAGATGTCCTCCTGCCCTGGACAGTGTACAGCATGATGTAAGGCCTGGATTTTTTTTTTTTTGGTACCAGCGATCGAACTCGGGTCCTTACGCTTGCAGAGCAGGCAGCGAAACCACTGAGCTAATGGATTTTTTTGTTTTTACTACAATGAAGGAAGTTAGCCCAAAGAGGAAGCTGACTTACAGAAGAGACTGAGGTACAATCACAGAGAAGCAGAGCTGGAGCCTGGATCAAACATGCCTGAAGCCTATCTTGCTTTGGCTGTGAGAGTCAGCCAGTGATCTATTGTCTAAGCCAGTGTGAGCTGCAGTTTTCTGTTTCTTGCAGTACAGAGCACCCCAACTCATAAGTCAGGCAGAGAGGGACATGGGACAGACATGTAGAGGCCCTGCCGTGGGGGCATCACCGCGCCTCCAGCCCAAAAGCTATATTCATTGTGACCCGACGCACAGTGTCTCGTGGGGAGGGCGGCACACTGGACCAAGGGTAAAAGTGGGCTCCGGCTCTAGCTCTGTGGCCTGACAGCTCCACTCCACACCTGCTGACAGGGGCCCCGGCCTGGTGGGCTCCGGTCTGCTGGCTCCCCTGCTCCGCAGAGGGTCGGAGTGAGAGGGGTCACCCAACACTCCCAGCCAGGGCGGGTGCACCCTGGCCCTAGAGGAGTCCAGCTCCCAGTGGCCCCTGTAGTTCACTGCCTGTGCCCCCCCGCAAACGCCCGACTCACAGGTCTTGGCTTGGCCACAGTGGGGACCGGGTCGGGCACTGGAATGGTGCGGGGCCGGGGTGCAGTCAGGGTGAATTCCCGGGGCTCTGTGACCTTGGCCTTGACCTTGGTGAGAGGGGCCTGGTGGGCTGATCCTCCCTCCAGCTGGTCCAACAGGCCCTGGACTTCTGGCTGCCACCTGGGTGGTGAAGGGAGAAGCCCTGGGTGACTGCCTCTGCGGGTGGGGGGCTTGGCACTGAGAGGACCCCAGGACCTGGGTCTCCCTCAGGAAGGCTGATGATGGGACGGAGCTGAGCAGGACTTGCAGGCAGGGCCCAGCCACACTCCTTCTGCAGATGAGGAGGAGACTGAGGCCTGGGCAGTGGTGGGAGGGGACCTGGGGTGCCAGGGATCTGGGGAACACGGAGCAGAGCAGTGTGGGGACGTGGAGCTAAACTGGGCCAGAGCAGATGGCATAGATGGGGAAGTCAGGAGTGAGAGGAAGTTGGCGTGGGAAGGAGCCTTCTGGAGCTGAACTGTGGGTGACGGGCATGGTGGGAGCCTCGGGCATTGGGAGTGAGGGCTGGTCCTCGGCAAGGAGTCTGGCTGTCTCGCTCACTCGGGATGGCCTCAGGCTGGGGGCTCTGGAGCAGGGCTCGGGGACCTTGCTGGGAACAGCTACCATCACCAGTAACCTTGCAGGAGTTCTAGCCCCATGTCCAGAACCAGGGCCACTCAAGGAGGAAGCTGGGGTGAGGCCCACTCCAGGGAGCTCCCAGGAGGCCATGCCAAGCTGGCCCAGGAGCCCCAAGCAGGGAAGGGGCAGGAGGTTTGAGCAGCCTGGTGCCACTATTCCCAGGAGTTCTGTCCCACTGCCAGCAGCAGGGATGCGCTGGGACTGAGGACTGTCCCTTGGTGATGACGAAGCCTCTCCAGGGACCCCCACTGCAGAAGCCACTTGTGCCCCAACAAGGTGCCTCCCTCTCCTCTCAGAAGCTGCATCCCGGCCCCTGCAGGCTTCCCCATGGTCTGGTCTGCCCCAAGCTCCCCCCCAGGCTGGGAGGCAGAGAGGGCAGCCAGGGCAGCTTGGGGCATCCAGCCTGGCTCAGAAGAGAGCCAGAAGCTGGGCCTGAACCACCTGGAGCTGGAGCAGAGCTGCTGCCTGCCCAGCTCTCCCAGCTCCCCTCAGCCTGCACTGCTGGGATCTGCAGAGAGGCCAGGGCCAGGGCTGGGCCCCCGTCACCGGCCCCTGCACAGTGGGCAGGCCCCAGAGCAAAAGGGCCATTTCCTGTATCCCTGCTGCCCTCTGGCCACCAGGCCCACCCTCTCTCAGTCAGTCGTGGGCACCAAGGGACCCGGACTGATGGCCAGCACATGTCCTGCTCGGATGCCCTGGGCCTCTCTGAGCCTCTCGCCCCAGCACAGGGGAATGAGGGGCCCCCTGCACTGAGGTGCCTGGGGTGGGCTGTCCAGGGCCCAGGGCCCCGCGGCTGGCCCACCTCAGCAGGGGTTCGATCCAGTGCTCCTGCACGTGGGCTGCCGTGTAGATGAGGCTCCACTCGTCCTTGATCCACGAGCACAGGTTTAAAGGGTTGAAGAAGAACCTGAGGAACTGGGGGTGGGGCCGTGAGGCGCGGGGCCCAGGCTGCTACCCCCCCACCCCCAGTGTCCTTCCTGGGAATCGGGCGCCCAGCACCCAGGGTCACAACCACAGGCAGGCAGAGCTGCATCCCTGACCCTGCTCCTACTGCAGCCAGTGGGGACACAGGGGAAGCTGCCCACTGGGCCCATCGGGCTCTGGAATTCTGGGATGGAATTGTGCACTTTCCTCAATGCCGCACTCCCTCAATTTGTCACCCACCCCCTGGGACTGAGGCTGTGTCCCTGTCCCAGGCCTGGCAGTCCTGCTGTGTCTTTGCATGGCAGGGTCCCCAGAGCTGCAGCTCCCAGCTCCCAAGCCCACAGCTCTGGTTCGGGGAACCCGGGAGGGCCCTGACCAGGTGACCTGACCCGGCTGGGAGGGCGCAGCCTGGGGCCGTGCTCTGCTCTGCACAGATTCCCACTCAGGGACCGTGTGCAATTGCCCCCAAACCAGCTGCAGGGCCTCCCTGCCTGCCCCTGGCACCTTTCCCACCCCCAGGGGGCCGTGGGCCCTCACCCCCTGCCAGCCAGGCTGCTCCTGTCCCCGGCACTGCCCTAGGCTACCCTCACAGCGACTTTCCTGGACACACGCTGCTCTCCGAGGTCAGCCCTGACCCCACAGAGACAGTGCCCAGGAGAAGCTGTCTTGTGCCCGGACCACACTCCTATCTGAGCTCAGCCGGGCTCCTCCTGGAGCTCCGGGGTGGGAGAGGGACCTGATGGGTTTAGGGTAAGGGACGGAGGAGAGGCAGAGACTGCACTGGACAGCCACCATCCGTCCCTGAAGCCAGCCCGGCTGCTCCCTGGGGATTCATGTGACTGTAACCCTGGGCCAGTCTGCCTCTGTGTGGGGCACCGCCCCAGCCCTTGTGTGCTGAGCAGTCGGTACCCAAACACCTGGTGAGTCCCTGTGGGACCCAGGTGAGATAAAAGGTGAGTTCCTGATCAATAGTGGTTAAGAAAGTCAGCAGAAGCCGGGTGTGGTGATGCCCACCTGTGATCCCAGCACTCAGGAGGTTGAGGCAGGAGGATCCCTGCAGTTGGAGGCCAGCCTGGGCTACACAGTGAGTTCAAGGCCAGCCTGAACTACATAGACCCTGTCTCAACCCACCCCCCAAAGTCAAATAATAATAAAAATAATAAAAAAGCCAGGCCTAATGGCTCAGTCTGTTATCCCAGCACTTTGGAAGGCTGAGGGAGGAGGCTCACAAGTTTGAGCCTGCCCTGGGACATTTACTGCCTTAGGATCTTGAAATGAAAAATAAGAAGTGGGCTGGGGATGTAGCACATAGCAAGGACCTTGAGTTTGGTCCTTGGTGTGGTCCTGGTGATGCTGCTGCTCCAGTCCCCGCCCCACAGAGCTGGCAGCTTTACCCAATGAGTCCCCTGGGTGACAGCCAAGTGCTCCTGACCTGACTCTTCCCTGTCCCTCCTCCAGGATGTCACCCCTGGGCTGGCGACAACCTACTCTGGGGGGAGGAGGAGGAGGAGAGGAGCGAGGGGCTGGGCTGAAGATCAGGCACCGGAGCACAGCGAAGCCCGGCCTCCAATAAACCTCTTGCAGGGGCAGCGGACAGCTGAGGAGCAGCAGGCCTTGGCAGATGTGATACCTGCCTGCAGGCCGCAAGGAGCTCACTCCCCACTCACAGGAGGTGGGGGTTGACGCTGGTCCCCAAGTCACTGCCCAGCAGGACCCGGGACCCAGAACCGGAGCTCCCAGGGGCCAGAGTGCATATTCTCTGTCAAGAAGGCATCGATCCTCAGTGCAGAAGGAACTGGGAGGGCGGGAGGCTGGTGCCCCAGGCCCCTGGCTGTGGTACAGGGGGCTCACCTTGCACGTCTGGCCCGCAGGCAGGGCCTTGACAATGCTGCTGAAGAGCCGGAAGCCAAGCTCGTCTAGCTGGAACGTGGCCAGGTAGCAGAGCACTGAGGGGAGAGCAGTGTGAGCGCCCTCCACCTTTCTGGCTTGGCCTCTCCACTCCCTGCAGCCCTCATCCTCCACTCTCCCCAGGGCTGGGCAGCAAGGCCAAGGTCAAGTCTCCATTGTGGCACCAGCCCCTCTGCCCACAGTGGGGAACCTGCTCCCTGAAGGCAGACACCGGCTAGAGGGCTCTTTACCCTCCCCACCCCTCCTCTGCCCTTCTCGGTCTCTGTCTCTCTCTCTCTCTCTCTCTACTGGGGGTTAAACCCAGGGCCTTCACAACAAGCTACATCCCTGTCCCTATTTAAAAATGTGTTTCAAGACTTGCCATCCTCCGGCCTCAGCCTCCCAGAGTGCTAGAATCACAGGTGTGCACCACACACCCAGCTGGCATCTCTCATATGGTCTCAGCTGTGGCTCAGAACCTGCTCTACCCAAACTTCTTAGGGACAGGGACAGGGCTCAGGAACCCCAAGAGAGGAGGGGTGCTCGCAGCCAGCCCAGGCCTCCTGTGCCAGACCACAGGCTGTGGGGGTGGCGGGCGAGGTCTCTCGGCCGCACCTGGGGCTTCCATGAAGCTGAGGCCTCAGTTTCCTGTCTTTGAGGTGAGGGAACACGTCCACCCTGGTCAAGCCACTGGTGGGCGACCACGGGGACTTCATGAGCAAAGAGGCTGTGCAGAAACCCAGGCACTTCCTAGGTCACTCCAGGGTCTGCTCTGGAGGGCACAGTGGCTGGGCCTGGGGACACGAAGATGACACCCACCCTGAAAGAGGCTGTAGTCGGCCCATAGGCAGAGCCGGCCGTCCCGCACATAGAAGGCGTCCACCACGATGGTCAGGAGCTTCCGGTACTGCAGACAGCCAGACAGGAGCTCCGACACGAGGGCCCACTTCTGGGGGCTCAGCGCCTGGTGGGGAAACAGCTGGAGGGGTCACCAGGGTCGGGAGGAGCGGGGCCAGGTGGGGATGGCTGGGAGGGCCTGGTTCACACCGTCCCTTGAAGCAGTGGGCAGGGATGGAGGGGACTAGCAGGGGCCCAGGGGCCGTCCCGGTTCCAGGCTGGCAAGGGAGGGTGCAAAGGCAAAACAAGGAGAACAAGGACAGGAAAAGCACAACCCAAAGATGGGGGTCACAAAGGTCCCCGCTTATCCACCTCTAGGGGGACGGTGGGACCAGGGGCTGGGAGGGGACAGCAGCTAGTGCTTCGTGGGGACAGAACAGCAAGTGGGGAAGACGAATTCTGGAGATGGGTGGGAGTGGCGGCTGCACAGCCAGGAGAACACGCTTAAACCACGGAACCAGGCACACAACAATGGTTAAGTGGTAAATTTTATGTCGTGTGCTTTTTACAGTAATGTAAAAAATGAGCTCATATAAAGGTTTTCAGATTAAGGAATAAAAAATTACCAAAAAGCACGAGGCACGAGCAAGGAAAACCTGGAGCTTGTTCAGTATGGAAAGCTTTCAAGAAGGGAATGGGGGGCTGGGGATTTAGCTCAGTGGTTTGGCCGCCTGCCTCGAAAGCTCAAGGTCCTGAGTTCGATTCCCGGTACCAAAAGAAAGAAAGCAAGCAGGCCATGAGGCCACTTGGCGATGCCAGCACAGCCACGCAGAGGGCAGGGGCTGCCCAGCTGGCTGGAAGCGCTGTGGAAATGCTTCCCGGACCTCAGTCGTGACTCAGAGAAGACACAGCGCAAGCGTTCAGGGCGAGGCCAGGAGCTGCCCGAAGACCGGTGTGAGGGCGCACGGGTCCCATGCGCCCCAGCCAGGACTGGCAGCACTCAGCCCCTGAGATGGCCCTGCCACGGGACAGAGGGCTAGGATGTGACCCACACATGCGCTGACTCCCGGGAAGGTTTCATTACGTATCCAAGTGTGGAGCCACAAAAAACGAAGAAATACTGTAACGCTCCTGGAAAACTCACAAGATGACAGAGAGCAGGGATCACCCAAGTGAGACCCGAGTGGGGAGAGGCCTTAGGGAGAGGCCTTGCCACTCCAGGAGCCTGCACATGCTTGCTCGGCCTCAGTGGTCATTCGGGGAAAGGCGGTCCCTCGCTGACCTCTGCTCAGGCGCTGGGGACAAACCCAGGGCTCTCGTGTGCTAGGCAAGCACTCACCATGGAGCTGCACCCCAGCTGCTGAGCTAGGAAAGAAACATCACTATCTCATTTTTATTTTAAATTTTTACTTATTTGTTTTGGTTTTTTGAGACAGAATCTCATTATGTAGTTCAGGCTGCCCTTGAACTCACAACAATCCTTCTGCCTCAGCCTCCTGAGTCCTGGGATTATAGGTATGTACCACCACACCCGCTCTCATTTTATTTTGAATTTTTAAAATTTGCAGTGAAATTTCCATCTCTTTACTGGACACTTGTACTTCTCCTGTGAATTAGTAATTTACATTCTTGCTTAACCTTTTCTTTTTCAGTACTGGGGATTAAACTCACAGAGTGCTTAGCTACAGCCCCAGCTGGGCCTCAAACTTGAGTGTGACACCCCACTCAGTTTAACTTTTAATTGATTTGTTTGTTTGTTTGTTTCTTTTTTGGCTTTTTGAGATAAGGTCTTGCTATGTAGTCTGGGCTGGCCTTGAACTCATTATGTAGCCCAGGCTGGCCTCAAACTTGCAGTGATTCTCAAGTATTGAGATAACTAACAGGAGGGAACCACCCCCCCCATTGTTAACTTCTAATTGGGATAAGTTTTTTCCCCCAGGTACCAGAGATTGAACTCAGGACCTTGTGAAGGCGAAGCAGCACCACTGAGATAAATCCCCGGCCCTCGAGTCTTTCTTAATAAGGCCTGGCCTGAGCCCAGGGCTGCAGACCCTGATGCCAGCAGCCCGGGGCAGACAGGTCCTCCACGGCCACACTGGGCTGCAGGATCCTGGAGACACAGGGCCAAGTGGGTGCCTGTGAAGGACATCTGGGGCCAGGGCCTCGCCATGGGGAAGGGCGGCACACTGATGCCAGGCCAGCAGGCCCCGAAACACCGGGCGTTCTGCCGAGTGGGGCCAGGCCTGGGGAGGGGTCGGGGTGCTGAGCTCCAGCCAGGTGTCCTGAGGCTCGGGCTGGGGTGGGTGGGCTCTGCCTCCTAGAGCAGTGTGAGGGTGTCCCCTGCTGCACTCAGGATAATTCTGGCCCAGCCTCGGACGTGGATGCTGGAGGACTCTGAGTTGGGGCTACAATCCTGGCCTTTCGTCAAGGTTGAGGCTCCTGTGTCATTGCCCAGGGAACTCACCAGCCCCTGGGAAGAGCAGCGAGGCACCAGCTTCAAGCTTGCCAGCGCCCGCTCCTGGGCACCCTCGCTCCTGGGACAGGGCAGGGAGGGGCTGGACGCCACCAGTCACAGCACACCTGTTATCCAAGGGGCCATGGACCGACAGGAAGTAGGCAAAGGAAAAGGGCTGCCGGTGCCCACGCCTTGTCCCGCTTTCCTCTCTAACAGAAAGGACCCTGACCGGTTGCAGGTGGTGACTGCCATTGTTGGCAGGGCCATGTGACAGTTTTAATCAATGAGATCTCATGACAAATTGCTACATGTGACTTCTGAGAAACTCCTTGAAAAGAAGGCAGGTTCAGCTGGCCCAGGCCTTGAGCTGTTTGCCTTTGGCCTCTCCTTGCCTGGGATGGTGGGCATGATGCTGGATAGAGCAGCCACTTTGTGTCTATGAGGAAAGGAACATGCTAAGGATGGTCTTCGGAGGGAGAGGGAGTGCATTCCTCCCAGAGCCACAGAGTGGCTGGGCCACCCTGAGCTGTCTACTGCTTCACATATGCGCAAAGAGGCCGCTCACTTATCTAGGCAGCTATTTTTCCGGATTATGATATAGCTGAACATAATTTCCTAACAGACATAGATCTAAGCAGATGGTTCAAAGAAGAGGTATATAATGCTTGGAAATTTGTGAAAATATGGAAGAGAAACGCTCCTTATAACTCTACAGCTCCCCCACCCCCATTTGGTTGGTAAAAAATAAACTGCCTGCACCCTGGGTAGGTGGGGGAGGAGGGGCCGAAGCAACACACAGCTCTCCGAGACGCCGGCTGGAGCTCTGGACATCAGGAGAGCTGGGCGTGTGGCGCACACTTGGGCTATAATCCCAGCACTCTGGGAGGCTGAGGCAGGAGGATCACAAGCTTGAGTCTCAGGTTCTTTATTTTATGACTGGTAAAAAGAGCTGGGGATGCAGCCCGGTGCAAAGCCCCTGGGTTCTCTCCCCAGAACTGGGGGAAAAAGTACTCTCACAGAAAGAATTTGTGTTTTCTGGGAGCAGATGTTGGGTGCACCTGGCCAGGTGCAGAGGGACTGGTGGGCTGGTGCGGTGAGCACGGGAAACAGGTGCCAGGCCCTGTGCAGCGGGAGCCGCACTAACACTGATGGAGAGGGCAGTGGGATGCTTGTGGCCCGTGGATGGGAGCCCGAGCCGGGAAAATCCAGGCACATCTGAGCGCTGGGCGGATGTGGAGCAGGCTCCATGCTGCCTTGTGAGGTAGGAAGGACTGTGCACACCTGTTTCTTGGTTTGTTTTCCACTGCGGTGGCAGAATTCCAGGGTGGGTAACTGGTAAAGAAATGGATTGAGAGCCGGCGTGGGCCTGCCTGGCTTCTGAAGGCCTGGCCCGAGACACAGGGCCCCTGCTCTGCAACAATGCTGTCAGGCCCGGAACTCAAGCTCCCCTGCAGCCAATTCGCCTGCCAGCCCCATCCTTCCCGGGCACGAGTCCTGATGGGGCCCTGCCACATTCCACCAGAGCAAGCGCTGTGGGCTGGTAAGCGTCATTTTGTTTTTATTCTCATGTATAATATTTACATGATTGAAATGTATTTTTGAACCAAATGCCTTTTTTTTTTTTCATACTGGTGATCGAACTTGGGATCTTGCACTTGCGAGGCAGGCCGAGGAACCACTGAGCTAAATCCCTGCCCCCAAATGCTATATTTTAAAACCTGGCCAGGCGCTGGGGGAACACTGTCTGCTGGACTCCTGGGCCAGGCTGGAAGGGCGACTGCCACCACACGCTACCTTGGATGGTGTGGATGAATCAGGTGTGGGTGGATTTGTTCTGGTTTAGTTTGCTTTGTTTTCCAGTATGGGGGATTGAACCCACAGACTTTGCACAGAGCTACATCCCCAGCCCTTTTCATTCTTTTTCATCTTGAGACAGGGTGTTGCCAACTTGCTCAGTTGCCTGGACAGCTCAAACTGTCAATCTTCCTGCCTCAGCCTCCCATGGTGCTAGATGATAGGCGTGAACCACCATGTCCTACTCATGGGGTGTTTTAATAAATATTCAAATAGAAGATATTTTCTGTGCTCAGGTTTTTCCTGAGACAACTGACAGGGAGAGCAAGCATAGGCATCCTGAGATGGCCAGCCCTGCCCTCGAGGCCTCGACGGTCCCCCTTCCCCAGCCCACCCCAACCTCGCCCTGTCCCTGTCCCCTCAGGCTGGGCTGCCCCCCACCTGGCTCTTCCACCCTGATCCATCCCTTTCCTCCCCAAACCGCCTGCCACCTGCTGGCTGGCCCCTGTCTGCTGGGAGGTCCAGACCTGAGGCACAGCCCTGTGGGTCCTCCCTGGCCACCACGACTCTGGCCAGGCTCAGGGGCTTCCAGAGCGTGGGAGTGCCTAGGGACAAGGCCACCCCTGCCACCCCTCACAGGACATGCAGGGCCCGGAGGGGTGCCTGCAGGGGACCTGGAGAAGGGTGCGTTCGTGCGTCCTTCTGTTCCGTCCTTCCCTGAGGCCCAGCGGAGGCCGCCCAGGCTTGATGGTACCAGCTCTCCAGATCCTGGTCACCCTGCGGCCACTGCCCCTCCATGTGACTCAGGCCCAGGGCCCTCGGCCTCTTTCAGCTCCGGACTGCCCCACCGGCCGGTCCCTTCGCTCCTGGGTGCCACTCTTTCCATCAGGCCAAATCCACCCCTTGCCCACACTGATGATGGAGCAGCCCTCAGTGCCAGCGATCTTTCCTGAGCTGCAGTGCCTCAGTCCCTTGAGATGTGTCACCGCGACCGTGCCTCTGCGGAGGGCCCGCTTGTGTGTGCTCAGGCTGGGGCTGGGTTTCAGTGTGGGGCAGAGAAAACTACCACAGATCCATAGGCTCTGCTGCCGCTGGCTTCTGTGTTGTGGCATTTTCTGGCAGCTGACAGCCTCAAACTGTGAGCAAAGGGGGCAGATGCCAGCCATCTTCCGACAAGCAGAGAAGCGAGTCGCCCACCTGGGTCAGAACCCAGTGCCCCACTCACCACGACTTCAGAGGGCTTTGAAAGGACTGAAAAGGCCCTGTGCCTCTGATGTAGGCAGAATGGGTGGCAGTGGGTGGCTGCCCCTGGGTGGCAGCCCTGCCCAACTGCTGCCAGGCCGAAACGTGGTACTGAGCTGCCCTGCTGTCCTTGGAAAGGCAAGGAATGGTCACCGTGTCGTGACTTCCACTCATAATCTGCTGGGTGTGGTGATAGTTGCTTGTCAACTTGACTGGCTCCAGAGACTCCAGAGAGGTAAGTGGACCAGGAGTGTCGTGCTGCTCAGTGGATTCACCCTGCGTCCACAGCTGAGTGCATGGGGAGGAGGTGGGTCTGGTTGGAGGTGGCCACTGGTCATGCCTGTGGAGGGTGTATCTGTCCACCAGGACACCGTCCCCGCAATATGTTTCCTGTCTGCCATGGGCTGAGCAGATCTGCTCCGCCAAGTGCTTCTTCCATGACGTTCTTGCCTTGGAATCAGCTGTCCATGGACTGAAACTTCTGAAACCAGGAGCCCAATGAACCTCTCTCCTTAAGTTTCAGGTGTTGGGTGTTTTGTCCAGCAACAGGAAAACTGACGAATTCGGTTGTTAAAAAAACAAAAACTCCAAACACTGCAGCCACCTCATTTTTCTATAAGGGCTCTCATCACGAAACAGGCCAGGATTTAGCTCAGTGCTTCTGCCGGCTGCCTCGAAAGCCCAAGGATCCGAGTTCGATCCCCAGCACCAAAAAAAAATAAAAAGAAATAAAGACGGCAACTTCACCGGTGGGAGGGGAGGGCCCTCTTCCTCCCCAAAGGCTGAGCCGTCCAGGGCAGTGTGCGCGCGCGTGGGGGATGCAGAGTGCAGTGTGCGGAGGCTGGGGGAGAGCGCCACATGGGATGTTCCAGAAGTACCAGGAGGCCAGGGTGACAGCAGAGTGGCTGAGGGGGTTGGGTGGGGCACTGTAAAGATGCAGTAGTGGGAGCCAGAAGGTCCTGAGAAGCCAAGGACACCTCTGCATCACCTTCTAGCACATTCTCTCTGGTACCTGGGGCTGGGGGAGACCAGTGAGGTGGGCAGTGTGGCAGAGCTGAGGGGACAGACAGGTGCCAGGCCCACCTGAGCAGGGAAAGATGGAACCGCTGATGGTAAGCTGGGGTCATGGGATGAGCAGCATGCGGGAGCTTGGGGCCAGGTGGATTTATTTGCCCCTGGACAGGTCCCATGGGAGGTGCCCATGGACACGGGGTGACATGATGCTTTTCAGTCCGGGGCTCAGGAGACAGGATAGAGCCGAGGGCGGGGTTGGGAGCTGCAGCTGGTAAGGTGTCCTAGGGTCCTCTGAGTACCACTGACAAGAGGGCGGAGCTCCAGCTGGAAAGTGCCAGGGCTGGGGCAGGCTCCAGAGGTGCCAAGACTGGACCCACAGATATTGCGACAAGGTGGCAGGACCGGCCTGGCACCTCTGTGGAGCTTCGAAGGTCCGCCAGGGCTGCTGTGGTTTGACCCTCATGACCCACGTGGAGGTGAGGCTGTGCAGCCAGGACCTTCCAGAGCCAGTGTGCTGTGTCTCTCCCTCTGTGTGGGACACACGCCATGACAGCCCTCATCGGGTGCTGGTGCCTGGCTCTCTGATGCCTGGCTCTCTGATGCCCAGCTCTGGTGAGAGACGTCCTGTAAACCACCCAGCCCTGGGAGTTTTGGGGAACGGGGAGGAGCTGCTGGGGCAGTCGGTGGGGAGTCTCACTGGATCCAGACAGCACCATGAGGGGCGTGGGGACTTGGGGTCCCAAGCCCTTTGGGGCTGACCCAAAGCAGAGAGGCAGAAGGGGCTGCAGAAGCCCCAGCCTGAGGAGCAGGCCCTCGGGGCTGGGATTCGGGCCATAGGAACAAGGGCTGGGCCTGGGGTTCTGGCAGTACCCCCTGCACCTCCATGTCCTCCTGCAGGGCTGCGCGAGGTACAGGGCCTTTTCCCTGGCCTGGCCCTCAGCTGTTTTCATCATTTCCCCCACATGTTTAGGGCCTCAGGGAAAGAGCTGGGGGACAAAGGGGCACTGAAGTGGGGGCACCATCACTGGAGGGCCCTCAACTCGACAGACAGCCCTGTACTCAGGGCTGAGTGAAACAAGACTGCCCACAGCCCACAGTTACAGATAAGTGTCCCCCAGCGAATGCATCTGTGATGACAGCAACCTGGGGGGGAAGGGGGAGTGCCCATGTGACAGTCCCCCAGCATTTCCCCCAGAGGACCCGCCTCCCCATCCAAAGCGCTGGGCTCTTCCCTGTGTGTATATTAAACAGGCCTGGGCCAGGGATTTAGCTCAGTGGTTCCGACGCCTGCCTCGAAAGCCAAGGACCTGAATTCGATCCCAGTACCAAACAAAAACAAAAACAAAAAACAAACAAACAAATAAACAGGCCTGGCCAACATTGGTAATGTTAATTACAGCAGTCTTTTAGCTTATCTTTTTTTTTTTTTTTTGGTACCGGGGATCGAACTCGGGTCCTTGCGCTTGCGCAGCAGGCGGCGAAACCACAGAGCTAAATCCCCGGCCCTTTTAGCTTATCTTTTAAAGCTATTGGATATTATGGGTCTCTCTAGGTTTTTATATAATAGTGAGGTTTTGAAATACTGCAAAACCATGTTAAGTTTTAGAATTCATTTTCTTTCATAGAGACAAGTGATGTGTTAGTCCCTGGGAACAAACTTATATAGATTCTGAATTGAATTATTCAAAATGGAAGCATTTAAACCTTTTGGATTTACAGCAATCTTTTGTGTTTGCTTTTTAAAATAAAGTGCTTATATTTGTATTCTTCATGTCTTGGAGAAATTATCTACATGATGTTTATAGGTCTGTGCTTTCCTGTCTAAGAAGCAGAATCTCATTCAGCACATTTAGTTTTATCAGTCGTGAAGCCTGATCTCTGAAGGGCTATAGCAGAGGCACAAAACCTAGAATGCATGTATTCACTTTGGGGTGTGCATTTCATGCCTTGAATCACTTTGGAAAGTGTCCCAGAAAAACTAGACAGTCCTCTTTATCTTCACAAGAATTTTATATATATTTATGGAGATGATTCTGTATTCTAGTACATCTTTTTGGCCATGGACTGATTTGTATCTCTTCATACTCATTCGGCACAATCTGTGTATAATATATCAAATTTAAGAGAGGTATGACCTTGAATTTAACTTTTTTAAAAACTGGGAGGTCAATAAAACTTAAATTGTATACAAATGCTCAAAAAACAAAACAAAACAAAACAAAAGCGCTGGGCCCCAAAGTCCTGATGGCTGAGGTGCAGGAATCCCAGCACCTGCTCCCTGGGCACCTGCTCCCATGGACAGTGGGTGTGGGGTTGGAACGGCTGTGGCCAGTGATCAGGTGACAGGGAGGGCCATGGGCAGCGGGCAATGCTGCAGCAAATATCACTGCTCCCCTCCCAGGCTCCATACCCCATCCCAGTGGCCCAGGCTCTGAACTTGCAATGGGAGAGAAGGATGGGACCCTCAGGGACAGGGCAGGAGTGGAGGAGTTAGGTGGCCAGCCCCAAGAGGCAGTCTGTCATGGCTCCGAGGTGTAGGCAGGCAGACAAACGAGGTGGGAGGTGTCAGTAACTCCCCACTCCCCAGGGCTTTGATGCCGGGAACCCCCTGCCTCTGCTGGAGGCACAGTCAGCTAAACATGGCCCAGCAGAAGCTGTGCTGTGGCCACCCTGGGCACCACTGTGCACACAGCTGTGGCCCCTCTGGAGAGGGAGCTGGGGGAGAGGAGCACAGGGCTGCCTCTTTTGACCTGGGCTAGGGACGTGGTGTCCCCTGACTTACAGCCACTGTCTTCTTACTGGAGCCCCATGACAAAATGCCTCCCACGACAAAGCAGGGTCTCTGCTGTGTGTTGGGGGACTCACCTGGGCCTCTCCCCTAGGAAGGCAGGCCCGGGATAGGAGTGAATGGGATACTGTGTCGTGGAAGTGAGATGCCATGTGGGGTGTGTCATCAACGCACTGCCCTGAGCCTACCTGCAGGGACGTGGACACGGACTCCAAGAACAGCTCAGGACTGTCTTTCTCAGGCTTAAATTTGTCCAGTTGCTCTATCACAGTCTCAAGGCATTTTCCGTAGTAGCCCATCTTACTGGGCAGGACCCTGAAACAAACCAGCGAAGGTCACGTTCTCCACAGCCTCTGGGTGCCGGCTTGGCTGGTGGCAGAAGTGGCCTCAGGACCCTTCCCAGCACTGACAGGAAGCCCACTGGGGTGCCAAGGACCTTGAGTGGTAAGGAGCATTGGTATAAGCAGGGGCCCTGGCTCAGATAAACTGAGCCCCATTTCCGGGACCAGTCTTCCTCTGACCTCTGTTGCTTCAGTGGCCTGGGACAGCCTTGCTGAGCTCACCCGCACCCCAGTCTCCCATTCCCACCCAGCCCCAGCCCAGTCCCTGAGGCACCCAGGCTGCTCCACGAACCTCCAGAGCCATACTGCAGGTGGAGTGAGCCCTGGGAGGGGGCCGTGAGCTCAGCCCAGGGGGTGGGGTGGGGAAGGATGGTGGCCCTACTGATGTTCACAGCAGAATTCACTGGGTGGAGGTGAGGTCTGGTTGGAGGTGGCCCGTGGGGGCTGCCTTTGGAAGGCGCTTTGCTGGCCTCTTCTTTGTGCTCTGCTTCCCAGCCACCACGAAGTAAGTAGCCTTGTTCTGCCATATCCTTCCACCATGATGTTTCTGCCTTGGAGCAGCTGACTATGGACTGAACCTTCTGAAACCCTGGGTCAAATAAACCTCTCCTCCTTGAAGTTATGGGCACTGGGTATTGTGTGCCAGCAATGAGAAAGCTGACCAACATGGCTGTTTACTCAGTAGGCTCTGTGCACAGTGGGGGACCAAATCACAAAAGGTTGAGATCCCCAGGTCCAGCACCTCCCTTTTATTTATTTATTTATTTATTTATTTATTTTATTTTATTTTATTTTTTTCTGGTACTGGGACATGAACTCAGGACCTTGTGCTTGCCAGGCAGGCACAGAACTGCTGAGCTAAATCCCCACCCAGCACCTCCATTTTAAAGACAAGGTAACTGAGCTCCTTTGAATAAGTGTCCAGTCCTTACAGGGCACCCAACATCCTGGAAACATGGCAGCTGGGGGACGCAGGCTTGCCAGGCCCCTCCTGGGGTCGGCCTGGGAGGAGACACTTGAGATGAGGCCGAGGTCCCGAGCACTGTCCCTCCTGACCACAGGTGGCCCCAAACCACCCAAGAGGAGGCGGACCTCATGGGCAAAGGCTCCTGCAAGTTTGGGTTCTGGCTGGACTGCTCAGGACAGCCACAGCAGCCAAGGCCACCTCCACTTGGGGGCCCCCTCCCATCTCATGTCCATCACTCTGGGCCAGGTGGAGTGTACAGGGCCACCACTCACTGCCCTCTGGGGCACTAGCACCTGGCAAGGCTGGGCTGTTGCCCATCGGCCAGTCATCAGGGAGCAGCTCCAGACCTAGGCCATCCAAGCCAGAGAAGACTGGAAAAGCAGCGTGGGTAGGGCCCCAGCAGTCAACTGATCCTGGCCAATCCCAGCCAATTCCACCCAATCCCAGCCCATCCTGCCAGGTCCATGGTTGGTCTTCCCCTCCCTGTCCCCATGAAGCTATGGGAAGCAGGAGAAAAGCACGTTGAGCATTAGGGAATTATTCCAAAAGATCCAAATGCACAGGAGTTCCAGAAACAAGAGAGAAATGAAACAAGACAGTGCCCAGAAGGAATCATGAAATTTCAAGCGGGAGATTCCCAGAATGCTTTCAGTGTAGGTAAGGGCTTCAGAGCAAGCTCGGCTTCTAGTGAGGACCCAGGGGAGAGCCTGCCAGCCCTGAGGCCCTGCCCATCCTCAGGTGCAAGCCCAGGGGGAGACACATTATGGGAAGGAGATGCAGGCGACCCTGGGTGCTGTGGGTGAGTGGCAGGACAAGGACATAGCAGCTGGCCTGCATGCCCCGAGTGGGCTTCTCTGAGCAGGGAGGGAGAGAGGCTGGGACATCTGTGTCCACACTGCCCCTGGCTGCACCCTGGGCCCTGCACAGCTGGTGACTGAGGCCAGACTAGGGGCTGTCCCCATAGGGCTGCTCCAGGCCCAGCCCTGGCTTTGCATGACACAGAGCCAGCAGCAGTCCCTCTGAATGAGGCCAGAGGAACGGCCTCTTGAAAATGGGCTTGAAGCCCCGGTGCCACAAACAGGCCCTGGAAACCTGGTCCCTGAGGACCAAGTGAGTAAGTGCGCACCTGGCACGACCAGGATGCCATCCCTGCCCCAGCTCGCCAGGCACTGGGTCCCCTTGCCCCATGGCTGAGACCATGCAGCAGCCTAGCTGTGGATTCCTCCCAGGCCAGTGTGGTTGGGGTGACAGGGCAGGGGACAGATGGGGGCTCTCCAGATTGGATGACACCAGACTAAATCCATTACAGACATATCCACGGATGCTGAGCTGTGGACTCCTCTGCCTGGTGTAGCCCTGGGCAAGACAAGGGTTGTTCAAGGCCACCCAGCCCCTCACCCTGCTGGTCTGCCTCCCGGCACCTCCCACCAGAGCTGCCCCCACCCACGTCCCACAGAACACTCATCAGGCTGAAGGCTAGATGGTGGGACAGAGACCACCCCACTTAACCCTGAGGGTCCTCTCCCCACCTCTGGTCCCTCAGACCACCTCCAGAGAATCTGGGGGGCCGCGAGCAAGGACCCCTGGCAGGGACAACTGCCTGTCCTTTCTCCTCAGCCTATGACACACTCAGAGCAGGGTTGCATCGTGTGATGGGTGTTGCACCCTGTGGCAGGTGTGTGTGGCCTTTGTGTGGCGTCCTCTCCCTGGGAGGGGGTGAGTGGACCAGGCATCTGTGACACAGCCAGATCGCAGCAGCTGTCACTGGGCCCTGGGGACCAGGGATGGGTGGCTGGGGAAAAAGCATTTTCACCTGGTGGGGTGGGACCATGCCCCACTGTGCAGGTGTGACTGGGAGCTTGGGGACAGGGTGAACAGGGCGACTCAGCAATCCTGGTCCCACTGTCACAAGGGCCATGCACATCTAGGTGCTTTAAAAACTCTACAGTGAGCCAAGTGTGGTGGCACACAGCCCCTCCAGGGATCTGGGAGGCTGAGGAAGGAGGATCATGAGTTCAAGCCCAGCCTGGGCAACTTAGCAAAACCCTGTCTCAAAATATAAATAAATAAATAAATAAATATTAAAAAAAAAAAAAAAAGAGCTGGGGATGTAGCTCAGTGATAGAGCATCGCCGGCTTCAATCCCCAGTACCGAAAATCCAGAACTAACACTAACCAATCAATCAAAAAAGCTTCCACAAAGGGCCGGGGATTTAGCTCAGTGGTTTTGCCGTCTGCTGCGCAAGTGCAAGGACCCAAGTTTGATCCCTGGTACCAAAAAACAAAAACAAAAATGAAAACACCTCCACGGGGTAGCTGGGACCTCTGGGGTGCAGTGGGGTGGGCCCACCATCCGCTGAGCCAGGCAGAGCAGAGACGGGATGGGCACTGTTGGCATCGAAGAATTCTGGCCTCTGACCCTTAGGCAGCTTCATGTCACTATAAGTGGGGAGTGGAGAGGGCAGGACCCCTGGGGTCTGTGAAGCCTCCCAGCTGGCTGGCCAGTCGGTGGGCAGTGCTTGGCCTCTCTATGCCCAGGCTCCAGGCTGGGGAGGGAATGAGGGTGGCCGGTGCTGAGTGATGGGGGGGGGGACAGGGCAGCAGCCCTGGTGCTGTCTGCAGGGTGGGGGGTGACCCTCTGCAGCACCCCAAAGGTGAGTTTCGGCCCCAGCCCCACCCCTTGTCCTGGGGGTGTCACCCGCCATGCAGCACCTGGTCCTCAGAGTAGGCTTGGCTGTGGGGCCCTTTGTCCCACTCCAGTTCAGTCTGCAGTAGAGCAATCCAGGTGCTCCAGGACCCACCTTGAGGGCAGCTTCGTGGGGGTCCCAGGTTGCCTGCTGGTACTCCTGGCTCGGGTGCAAACAGAGGCATGCTCTGTGCCCTGGCTAAACCTGCTTTTCTCAGCCTGGCAGACAAGGACAGAAGCAAACGCCATGTCACAGAGGGAGCAGGGGTGAGAGCTGGGCACCTGCTCAGAGGCCCCCAGTGGCTCCTTGCTCTCAGTCAGTCATGATCTCAGGGGCACTCCCACCCCATGTCCGGAGGGGCACAGACTGCAGGTGAGGGTACCCAGCCTGGCCCTAAACTAAGGGCACTGCCAGCCGGTGGGCCCTTCCCACCCCACCAGCACCGCAGGTGCCCCCAGGTCTGAACCCCAGGCTTCTGCCCCAGCTCCAGTGGGGGTTGGGGTGGGGAGGGGTCTGGAGAGGAATGGCTTCTGGGGTCCACTCTGTCCATCACTAACAGGGGCCCCTTCACAGCTGAGGCCACCAGCCTGGCCTTTTTCCTCCCTCCGCTGCCTGTGTACCCCTCTCTGCTCTCTCACGGGTTCAGAACCCCCTCCTACACGGCTCCTAAAGGCCGGATGATCCTGCCTCTTCTTCCTCTGGTGACAGACAGAGCAGCTCCACCTACCCCCTCCCTGCCCACCCCTGGGGTCACCTGAGAGCTGCTGGGCTCTGTGAGCCCTGGGGTCAGGCGGCCTCTTCCCCAGGCCTGGCTGTCACCCCAGAGCAGGCATTGCATCAGTGCCCAGAAATGTCTGCAATCCATGCCGAGGGTAAAAACAGAAAAAAGACCTCGGACCCTCAACTGTGCTTGCTCTCAGTTTGACTTTAAGAGATGCCTTCCGTAGTCAGGGAGAAGCCCCACTCAAAGACCACACCGCCTTTTACAAAACATGTTTTCTAAAGCCTTTATTTACATGGACCCTATAATGTCAGAGTGCAGTCCCCCATCTCCTTTAATTGGGAGATAGATGCCACAAGAGTATTTTCTAAGAATGGAAAAAATAGCCTGTGTCAAGCAGAGTTTGGGATGGAGGTGGGGCTCCCGGTACCCAAAGTTTTCTCCCTGGGTGAGCGCAAGGCCCAGGCTGGGCTTAGTCCTTGCCTGACCCCTGGTGACTTCTCAGGATGAGCCAGACCTTCCTGAGACCTACTCTCATCAACGTGATCAGGAAGGTGACACCGTAGGGTCCAGCACTCGCAGGAAAGGAGTAAACTGGGCAAATCGTGTGATGGATGGTGTTAAAGAGTGAGTTTTCTGTCCCCACCTGAGTCCCAGGAGGAAGCTGCTGGGGATGAGGGTCCCTCCCCCAGCATTCCTGGATCTGTCTGGAAGACCCCAGGAAGAGGCTCCCTGAGCCTGGGTGGGGCCGGGGGGTACGTGCTGTGGGAGCTGCTCCAGGGCCCAGGTGGGTGTGTCCTGCCCACCTCTGTCCTGGAGCCTGGAACGTTCCGAGGAAAGCAAGGCCGGGTGCCCAAGGGGAAGCCGGTCAAAGAGGAGCATGGGAACCACACAAGCCCTCCGGGGCCGGTCTTCTTGGCTGGATGGAGCAGGGCTCTGGGGTGGAGGCCTCTGAGCCCAGCTCACTCCAGCCTCTCACCCTCTAGCCTGAAGGTTCCTGAGGCAGGGCTCTGCAGCCCGACTAAGGCACAGAGCGGGTGGGCCAGGGTGAGCATGAGGAAATGGATGCTTGGATTCTGAATCCCTGCCAAAACCTGCCTGTGATCTTGGTCAAAACAGTTACATCTTCGGGTAGGAAATGTGGGAGGTGGGATTTAATTCCCAAGCTTACTGATTTTTTTTCTATTGATTTTTGATTCCACTAGGCAGGGCTTGCCTATCTCCCATTTGAGGCAACTTGGCAGGTGGGTTGGAGCAGAGCTTCTCTTCCCTTAGCAATCCTTCTGACAGAAATGCGAGTATATGAGGAACGTTAAGTTCCATCAGACAAACCAGCTTAGCGTTCTCAGCCACTAGAGATGACTCATTTGCATAAGATCTCAAATGTATGTTATTAAAATATGCTCCTTTCCCACGACTAAAGCCAGTCTCCTGAGGACTGCTACCAAGTCCTGCCCCAGTGGCTTATGCTCAAAGCACAGCCCAGGTGGGGATTTTCCTGCTTACTCTTCAATCTCAACTTCCCCTTCCCTGAGTAACAAATCTCAACTTTCAGTTGGGCCTACTGCTGCTCAGCTGAAAGATGACATTTCCCAGCCTCCCCGGCAGTGCAGTACGGTCACATGGCTAAGTTCCTGACTTCTGAGAAATAGGAGGGTGTGAGACTTCTGGAAAGTCTCTTTGAAAGGGAAAGGCATATATCCTTCTTCTCTTTTTCTTGTCCTGCCTGGGCTCAGGAAGTAATGGCAAGAACTCAGGCAGTCATTCTGGATCGTGAGAAAACAGAAAACAATATCAGCTGGAAAGGCTGATCCCTGACGGTGGGGTGCTGTCCCTACCTGCAGGCCTATCTCTCTGTGGGCCTTTTTCATGGAAACATGGACAATCTGTTTGGGTCTCTGTGATGCTGGGATTTTTTGCTGCGTGCAGCTAGCTGAACCTAATCCTAACAGATAGATCTGCCTCCCTGAGGCCAGCCTGTAAGAGAGAAATTGCAAAGCCTGAAGCCTAGGAGGGGAGCTTCTGAGCAGCAGCCTGAGCCCCAGACCTTGGGATCAGCCAAGCACAGACCCACAGAGGACAGCCACTCATCCAGTAGACAATGACCCTAGGTCTGGCCTGAGTTGTCCTGAGAAAACAGTGGTTTTTCTTGCGGGGAGGGAGGGGAGGCTTTATGGGAGAAAATGGAGAGTGTGGTTTTGGACATGTTGAATGTGAGATTTGTTAGTGGTCCAGATGGTAAAGATCAGGTAAACAGGTTTGAAGCCTCAGAGTTTAGGCTGAGATGGAAGTCTCTGAAAGGCTGTGGAGAAAATGGTTGTTTAAAAGACCATATGACCACAGGAAAGCCCTCAGGGATGGGGTGCAGCGGTGGCTACCAAGGACTGAGTTCCAGGCCTCCAGGGTAGGCAGGTTGGGAGCAGAGAGGCCCTGGGAAGGAGCTGTGGGATTGAGTGGGGACAAAGAACCCAGCTGCTCCAGCCAAGTGAGGACAGCAGGTCACCAAAGGGAGCAGTCACCTGGGTCACCTACTGCTGACAGGAGGAGGAGATGAGAGCCTGGTCGCTGGATTTCGCAGCATCGAGGTTGAGGATGACTTTAATAAAGAGCTTCAGAGAAGTGGCCGGGTGGAAGTCTGATTGGAGTAGGTTCGAGGAAGAACAGGCAGGAAAGAGTTGGAGCTAAGAGGCAGCTTCGGGGGTCTGCTGTGCAGAGAGTGCTTGGCAGCTGGAGGGGAGGGAGGCCCAGCAGAGTCAGGGTCGGGGTAGGGTAGTGGCAGGCGAGGGGAGCCTCTGAATTCTGGAGCCTTCTGGGATGTTGGTGCTGGGATGGAGCCCAAGGCCTCGTGAGTGTTAGGTGCCTGGCAAAAGCCCCACCACTAAGCCATCCCAGCCCTTCTACTGTGCCTCAGACCTGCACACTTCAGGATAGCTGAGGGAACATCGAGGCTGCTGGGTGCAGGCAGAGCTGCCAGAGTTGGGACTCACCTCCTGAGGCCAGGACACTTCCACCTTTTGCGCCTTGGTTTCTTCCCCCGAATGGGGATTTTAAGTGAGACCATTATTATTCACTTTTAGCTTTGTGATTGGCACCTACAGGTATTCACATTTTGGTGATTTTATTTCATTTTCGTTATTTATTTATTTATTTTTTGAGACAGGGTCTCACTGTATAGCTTAGGGTGGCCTTGAACTCATTGTGTGGTCCAGGCTGGCCTCCAACTCCTGTCAATCTTCCTGTCTCAGCCTCCCAAGTGCTAGGATCACAGGTGTGTGCTACCACAACCAGCTGATTTTATTTTTAAAATTATTTTAGTGTTTTCATAGATCCAAATTAGGGGACCCTTGGGGGGAAGCCAGGCTTACAGCAAAGTATCTTCAAAGGTGATTAAAAGAAAGGCAGAAAAAAAGCACCTTTAACTTTAATCGAGGAGCTGGGAAAAATATCAAAAGGTGGGAGCCAGGCGTGGTGGTGCACGCCTGTAATCCCAGCACTCAGGAGGCTAAGGCAGGAGGATCGCTGAAAGTTCGAGGCTCGCCTGGTCCACGTAGTAAGTTCAAGACCAGCCTGAACTATACAGCAAGACCTTGTCTCAAACAAACAAACAAACAAACAAAAAGTTTAAAAGACTAAAAGATGTAAGTGGAAGTCAGAAGAGGGGAGCAAGAGAGGTGCACTCAAGAAAATGGAAAGTGTCCAGCGAACAGACCCAGGGGCCCAGGCCTCGCCCACACCCCGACCTGCCCCGTACCTGCGGCCGCCGGTCTTCTACGGCTCCGCCTGCGCCGAAGGTCCCAGTGCCCTCGAGGGCGGCGAGTCTCGGGGGTCTCAGGCAGGGCCGGGGGCTCTCGGGTCCGCGGAACCAGGCCCGCAGCCCGTACCCCTCAGCGCTGCCGGCGTCGTCGGCGCGCCGTTAGCTAGCAACCGCGGCGCCGCCCGGGAGGCCGCATCAGCGGAGCGCGCCGGGACCTGTAGTCCGGGAGCGAGGCGAGCGCGCTGGGCTCGGAGGGGCGGGGCACGGGGCCGCGCGAGGATTGGCTGGCCCCAGGCCGGCCCCGCCCCCGGCTCACGGCGGGCCGGGGGGCTCACGGCGCCCTCGGCGCATGTGCGGAGTGGGGCGGCCGTGACCCGCGGAGCTGCGGGCTTCCCGTGCGCGGCGAAGAGCCGCGCGCCCCGTGCCCGCGCCTGCCTGTGCGCCCGTGCGTTCGTGGGCCCGAGTCCGCCCTGCGCCGCCCGCCCGCTAGCCAAGCATCCTCCAGGCCGCGCACCTGCCGCGCGCACCTGCCCGCCGCCGCTCAGCGCTCGGGACCCGCTCGCGCCCGGCCGGCCCGGCCCTGCCTCCGCGTCCGCTCCGCGCCGCCGCCGGACACGGGCGCTGCGCTGCGGAGGGCGAGGGCCGCTCGGAGCCCGGCCGGGCCGGCGCGGCGATGATGAACAGGTTCCGAAAGTGGCTCTACAAACCCAAGGTTTGCGTCCCTGGCCGACCTCCCGCCCGCGGCCCCGACTCCCTTTCCCGGACTCCGAGACCCAGGCAGGTCCTCGGCGTCCTGGCCCCGGCGCAGGACGACCCCCAGCCTGGGCGAGGCGCACTCCCGGCTCCTGCAGGCGGCCGACCCGGGCCCCTCGCTCCCAGGCGCTCGGCTCCGGGCGTCCAGGGCGCCCTACCACTTCTCGGTACCCGCCCTGCGCTCCGAGCCCCCGAGTCCTGGCCCTCTACGCCCCGGAGTAGACTGGCCCCGTTGACTCCGGTCTCCAGTCCCCGGGTCCCCGTGTCTGGAGCGGCTCCGGTTGGCCCGCCCTGGGTCTCCTCAGCCAGGAACCACCCCCCGCCCTGCCCTGGCTCTCCGCTGCGGGACCCGTTCCCCGACGGCGCCTGAAGCCCCGGCTTGGCGCCGCCTCGCTCCCGGCTGCTCCCCGCGCCTCAGCGGCTGCGCCAGTCGCACTGCGGGCGCCGCGTTCCTGCCGCCCGCCTCCCCAGCGCTCGCTTCCGCTGCGTCCGGAGCGGGCCAGGCCCTGTGCGCTGGTCGGGCGCGGCTATGCGGGGCCCGTCGTGCTGTGGGAGAGCCCTGCGCGTGGGTCCGGAGCGGTGCGGCTTGGGTGCGGTCAGCGCCACGACCGAGGGCGGGAGCACGGCCAGCTGCCTGGACCGGCGCTTGGGCCTCCGAGGCTCCGCGTCCCCAGCCGACCCAGGATGCGACCCCTTCTCCCGCCGCGCGGACCACCGTTCTTGGTCCAGGCTTCCAGCCCCTGTCCCTCTCCGAGAGCGCGCTCTGAGGTGGGTTTCCTTAGATCTGTGCCTTCCGGCGTGGCCATCCTGGGCAGCCCCGCGCCCAAGATTTAGGGGCAAGCTTGGGGAACCAGTGTTGGGTGGAGGGCGTTCATTCCTGGCCTGGCCAGAGGCGACGCAGGCTCCCAGCCCAGTGCCAGCTGGAGTTCAGAGCCTGGCCTGACCCTGGCCACACCCTGGGCGCCCAGCCCTCTCCTTGCCTGGACTGTTGGTCTGCAGGGGCACAAGGCGGTCCCTGCATTTATGTTTGTACAGGGAGTGGGTTTTCCTTTGTGACTTTTTTTTTTTTTTGGTACTGGGGATCGAATTCAGGACCTTGTGCCCGTGAGGCAGGCGAGGTGCCACTGGGCTAAATCCCTGGCCCTCCTTTGTGACTTTTTGTCACCAGTTAAGGAAAACCCTAGTCTAGTTGTGAAGAAGTCACTTGGGAGTGGGCAGCAGGATTATTTTCTCAGCAACAAATGGCACGGGACAGACAGGAATGTATGCAGGCCAAGAGACAGTCTGCTGTCTTTGGGGACACTTGTCTTACTGGGGCCTCTGGTGGCCTTTTGTATGGCCACTGTGGGAGAGGTGGTTTCCAGGGTCCCCCTCAGGCTGTGCACAGGAAGGAAGAGGAATAATTTCAGGGTGGCCCTTGCCTGCCCCACTTTACAGGAAAGGCTAAAAGTGGGACATATTACCACCCTTGACAGTGTGCCCCAGACTTAAGAATTGTGTCCCTGATGTCCCCTCTCGCTGTCCTTCCAGGCACAGTCCTGTGGCTGGACACCTGGAGTGGATCGCTGGAGGCTTAGCTGGTCCTGAGGATTCAGCCCAAGGCTGTGTGGTTTGGGAGAAGGGAGGGACTGAATAAGACGCCAGACCCCTGCTTTTCCTCATTGTCATCTCTCTGGTGCTGTCTCATATTTGTCCCTGGCCCTTGGACTTGAGCCATAACTCAGTCTCAGATTTCATCTTCTGGCCACAGCCGTTTCGGCAAGCTGGTGCCCTGTGGTCAGTCTACATCTCTTGTTTGAGATTTGTCTGTGGAGTTAAATATCTTGATTGTTTGGAGAGTTGGACTGTGTGATCTCACCCAACAGCTTTTCGTTTTTCAAACCAAAGTTTAGATTTTTACCTTGGATTAGAAGCTGATTTTATGCATCTTCCTGTCTGGTTGAAAGTGTTTTGGCACAGGGAGCCCCGAGTCAGTTCTGGGAAGACTCCTGGCCTGGGAACTTGAAGTGTTCAGTGCTGGAGGTGGAGGAGGCGCCTGGGGAGATTGCTGCCCACAGTTAGGACTTTTTCCATTTTTGTATGTAGATATACAATTCAAACTGCATTTTTAATTTAATCCCTGCTGTGGTCTAAGTCTGAACACTGAACCCTTTCTTTGTTAATTACAATGTGGTTGAAAATATTCTGAAATAAAAATCTTAATTCATTGTTCCTGTAGTTCTAAAAAGTGACTGGAAATGCTTAAAATATTTTTACATGACACAGATTTTGATATCTGAATCATTAATAACTACTTAAGTTGGGTAAAAAAGTACCCGATGAATAATACAATAGTTTAACGTTGAGATGACATTTGCAAAGTATATTTCCATTCGTTTTCTTAAAATCAGCCTTTTAAGCACTTAACTGATTTTCCTTGATGGAGAGTGTGCTGGCTCTTTAAGCATCGCCCTGCCTGTGAGGGAAGGCGGTGCAGTGCACACTGCCTGTTTGGGTCCTGCTGGGTGTTCTGTTTTTCTTAGGGTAAAGCCTTTCCAAGAAAGACTGATGCTTTGGGAAGGCGAAACATTGCAGGCGGCATGGTGCACACCTGTAATCTCCGCTGCTTGGGATGCTGAGGCAGGAGGATTCCAAGTTTGAGGCCAGCCCAAGCAACTTCATGAGATCCTGTCTCAAAATAAAAAATAAGAAGGGCTGGGGATGTAGCTCAGTGGTAGTTTCCCTGGGGTTGAGCCCTGGTACTGGAAAAAAAAAGGTGAAACATTTTGGATCAGTTGGGGTCTTCATTTGAAAGTTATCAGTGCTTGTTTCTTGTTTGGATGTGACTTCCTGCTGATTGACCTGGTTGGATGTCCCTCGCCACCAGGAGGGAGGAATCCTGGCTGGGGCACAGGGCCCCGACCCAGGCCCAGGCCTTGCTGGGATTCGTGCCCTTCACCACAGAGCACCTGATCATCCAGGGCAAATCTGTGCTTTCCATCTTTGAGGAGAGGTTGACCTGCTGGCCATTGGTCTAGATAGTTGATGTGGCTGATTACCACACTCGGTGCCCGCCACAAAGAGCCCTTTCATGTGCACCCCCAAACCACTTCTGAAGTAGGAACTGTTGACCTTTGTTGTTCCTCCTTTGTAGAGGAGCATTCCTTGTAATTCTTCTTCCCTGAGAGACCTGGACCTTGGTGTTAATATTCTGGGTTCTGGTAGAGATGAGAGGCCTTCGCCAAGAGAATCCTGAGAGCCTGGTGGGTGGGTGTTTTCCAGGAGCCTGTGAGGTCTGTGTGAGTGCAAGTGGGATGGCCCCAGCAGGACCCTGTGGACACTGGGCAGCACTGCCTCAGTGGGCCAAGGGTGCAGATCCACACCAGGGGCTGCCAGGTTCCAAAGTGCCAGCCCACTGTGCCATGGGCCCTTGAGTGGAGCTGTCCACCTGCACCATGGCCATGTGGCCTGGGGATGGCTGGCACCCTGGCAGCGAGTGGCTGGCAGGCAGGTGCTGGAGCAGGTGGGCTGGTCCCGTATCTGCATGGCCCCCGTATGGGTGGAACGTGCAGCCTGGCCCTCCTTTCTGGGCTCCTGACAGTAGCTGAGAAGAGGGCTGATGAGTTGGATGGCAGACACCTCTAGAACACAAGCAGGTGCCAGAGCACTAGGAAGGGTCTCGGCGGAGGCAGGTGTCATGTGGCCTTCCCAGACCTGCCTGCCCAGGTGTAACGGGAGAGGGGCTGTGCAGGGGCAGCTACCAACTTGTGCCTTGAGTTTCCCACTCTTCTGCTCTGCTCCCCCACAGCACAGCCAGTGCCCAGGCCCCTGCCCCTGGCCCTGCCAGGCACAGCCTGCTGCAGCATTTGCGATTTGATGGTTAACTTCTACCCGGGATGCTGACTGGCCTGCTTCCTGCTGATCAATTCTGAGGGCCACTGGGTTCGAGGTGCGTGCAGTAGCGAGTTCTCTTGTGCCTTGGCACTAGCCAGCTCCCTCTTCTAGGGACACAGGTGGGGCTGGGATGCTCAGCAGCGCTGAGTTAGGCAGGTGGCTGGGCCCACGCTGCCTGTCTCTGTGGCCCAGGTTTCCCTGGCCTCTCTCCTGTGTCCTTAATGCTGTGCGGGGGTGGGGGGCGGCCACTCTTAGGCCTGGCTCTGCTGTGTGCTCTCAGGCACGGACTAGCTGTGGCCCCTTCATGGCGCAGCGGAGCGTTGGGTGCATCTGCTGGGTGAGGGTGGGGGGGGGGGGGGGAGGTGTCAGCATCTGTGTGACTCTGTTGTCACCCGGTCAGAGCAGCACGCTTACTGGAAGTGAGCGACACAGTTTCTGTGAAATGGGCGAGCCAAGGCCAGGAGTGAGAAGCTTCAAGTAATTGATGTTTGGGCTCAGCATCATCATGTGGGCAGTTGCCAGGGAGAGGGAACACAGGGCCAGGGGCTGTGCCCTGAGCTCTGGAAGGGGAGGAGTAAAGTGACTCCCATCTGCCTGCAGAGATGGGTGATCTGAGGGTACAGGTTTGAGTTCCCGGAACAGCAGAGATGCTGGCTACAGCTGTGCAGACAGGCACACCTGGGGCCTTTGGTGGCCACTGTGGTGCCTGAGCTGACAGCAGTGAGCAGCTGAGTTCATCAGGGCGCCCTGTGCCCTGCCGAGGCAGTGGCCGTGAGCTATGGAGTGCTGTGGGCTTTCAGTCTCTCCCATTTCACTTGTCTTGAGCATTGCTCCTTCGTGGCTTCTGTTTCTAAGTAGTGTTGGGGCCACAGAGAGGGCAGTGGGGGCTGCTCTGGGGCCTGGGAGGGGATCTGTGCACCGTCCTTCCTTGCCCACTGCCTCAGTTTCCCCAGCTGTGAAGTGGAGTTGTTGGGAGCTTGCAAAGGACTGCTGTCAGTGTTGACCGAGCTCATGGGTGGGCTGAGGTGGTGTGGACTGCTGCAGGACCCGAAAGCAGCTCCGTGGGGTCAGTGACAGAGTCTGATGGTGTCCAGAGCCCCCTCAGCTCCCACCTGCAGCCGAGTCCTGGGGAGGGAGGTCTCCACAGGTGCAGCAGCCCTGCCCTTTCTCTCTAGGTGGCTGGTCAGGCTCCTGCTTGAGGAGCTTGGACATCTGGGCTCAGTGAGGGGAGCCACAGTGACAGATGAGAAGGATGCTGCCCTCCCACTGCCCGGGCTTCCACCTCCCCTGTTTTGGGAGGGCTGTGTGGAATTAGCCAGTGTGGGCAGCAGCAGGGTCTGCTGACAGCCCTAAACTTTGTGGTTTAGGCACAGAGCTTTGGAGTGGTTGGTGTTTGTGTATGTGTGTGGTATCAGGGATCGAACTCTGGACCTTGCACTTGGAAGGCAGGTGCAGTGCCACTGAGCTAAATCCCCCACCCTGGAGTGGTTGTTTTTAATTTAAATTTTTATTTTTACAAGTGCATGTTTGCAGTACATAATGAGCACATTCCTCGTGGGGAGCTGGTACGTGGATGTAACCTATCTTCATTCTGTGTGCAGCCCTTCCTCCCACTCCCTCCCCTCCATTTCTTGGTCTTCTCCTCATTTGTAGATCTGTCTCCCAGCAAGTGAACTTGCAGGCCTTGACAGCCAGAGAGGCAGAGCTGGGCTTCGACTGGGTCAGGCGGACCCAGGGCTGCAGTCTGTAAGACCGCTGTCCTTTGCGTGTCACAAGAACTTCATTTTCTGGAGGAAGGAACTGTAGCTGTCATCGGTTTTACATGGGTTCCATTTGGTGAAACAATTCCTTTTGTATTCTTCATAGTTGGACTGCAAAGAAACTTAGATATTGAT